ACACAGGTCCTTGCACGCGTCCGGGATGTACAACAACGGCGATTGTACCTCATAGTACTTGCCGATATGTACGTGTCAGTTACGTGAGGGTCATGTATGCGCGTGTTTACGCGGCAAAACGCACACATGTATACGTAAGACTATATACAAGCTTTGTATAACGAGTTTTCGTCGAGTTTCGATGGTAAATTCGGGGGGAAGACGACGTTTAGCGAAGTACTTATGGGAGCATCTTATGAGAAATCTCACAGACTGCAAATCGTAAACAAGGTCGATTTCGTTCCATTCCGATAAATTCGTAAGAGGATCATGAAATTGGTAAAAGTGAGCAGTGAATCACTGAGAAAGCTCAGTTGAAAATATCTGTGGAGTCAAAGAACGCAATCGTCGTTACTACACACCTCTATTTTTTAAATATCTTATAATCTTTCATCTTAAGTTGATCTCAAATTTTTAAGTATTTCTCTTAAAAGATTAATTTTTGGAATATAACGATGTGACTTTCATAATTAGAAGGCACAACAGAGAAAAACTTCGAAATTTTACTCCGAATGATTCGGAAATAATAAATGATAAATGACGAGTTATTTATACGCGAATAGTAGTAAAAACGCAAAGTGTACTCGAAAAATGACACAACTGCAACAGTTATCTTCGAGTTGCGTTTTCTGCCGGCAGAAATACTCCACGAGAATGAGAAACTTCGCAAGAAGCCTTGCTTTCTAATTCCCGCGTTTAGTGACTTTAATTGTCACGGGCCGACATATCTCCTAGGTAGTAATATACTTAATTAAAGTCAAAGACGAAGGTTGATCAAAGTTCATTCGACCAGTTTCTATTACGTATATAAACGCACAAAGAAGAACTTCATGCGTATCTTACAGAAAGCGATCATAATCAATAAGTGAAAGCACAGTAGAAAGCATAGATACAATAAAAATAAACTGCACATTCCTCAAGTTGTCATTATCAAAATTCATTATTAAAAAGAAAATCATAATTAAAATATAATATATCATAAATCATTATTAAAAAGAACGAAATAGTTTGAATCATATCGCCCTTTCTTTCTCTCAAGTATTGAGTTGAAGAGAGATGGTGACGGAGTTGAATGGAATCATATCAACATATCTCAGGAAAGAGACATGCTGATATGATTCTTTCTAATGGAATACAGATGCTAAGATCAGACAATGCGTAGTCTGTATCTATTACGTCAGTTGAAAATAGAGACCCTCTCTCAAATATGATGCCATTACAGAGAGTATAGGATCACGTAAAACCTACGAAAATCTATGTACTCTGCAATAAAGAGTCAAATATTGTTGCCCTATTTATCTCGATTGTCCAGACTCTTCAAGGTTTCTAATAGAAAATGCGTTAACCTTTCATGATCACACTGGGTCAAAATGATCCGAGCATTTTGTGAAAAATTAATTTTAACACTAAAAAAAAATCGTAAACATATATTAAAATTTAGCGTGAAAGTTACATATACTCGTACATCGTCTTCCATGCTAAATTTTAATACATGTTTACGATTTTTTTTAGTGTTAAAATTAAATTTTTCACAAAAACGCCACTGTTCCATTTTTCTGAAAGGATGAAATTATATACTGTATTTTTTTTAAATCGTTGCAACTAATACTGTCGATTTGATAACACTTTAAAGATGGGTCGGGTCATTTTAACCCAGAGTAACTATCGTGTGGCTTTTTAGAAGTGTGACCATGAAGGGTTAATGCATAAAGGATTAGAAAGCAACTGTCTGACATCTCCAAACTCGTCAATGGTCAGGAATTCAGAATTTGCGAACCAATGAACTTCCTCGAGTCATAAATACAAAATGTGAAGGGAGCATAAAGATCGTTTTCATTTATATATTGTCTATGTAAGTTCGTCAGAATTACGCCTCGGTTTCTGCGAGTCTCTCATGTTGCACGGAGTTCAGGTATCCTTAACAAAGTAAACCATACCGTGGTTACCCTTATCCCTCGAGAGGAATGAATACGGAGCACAAAACAGCTGGGGTTTCTCTTGAATACACACGTGCACGTGTTTGGGAGGGCTGACTCCTCGATTTCTCTATTGATGAATCTCAAATCTCAAATGGGAAATGCAAAGATTTACTCGTGTTGTTCCACGCGAAATAACTAGGTCAGCAGAATTTTGGCGAGCTTTCCTCTAGTCTGTATTTAAATGTGTGTGGGTTTATGTGTGTGTGTGTGTGTGTGTGTGTGTGTGTGTGCACTAAAGCTCTAGGTATACCAAAGTAGCGCAATCCTTTTATTTGAGCCGAAATGCCGACAACTTTCCTATTGACTATTTCGATCGCCATTTTCGATCTAGTTGTCTGTAGTTCAATAAACGCTTACAATTAGTATTATTGGAACATGGTATGGTTAGTAAGTCGAAAATGGAGGACCTTTGCGCTACTTTGGTATATCTAGAGCTTTTAGTGTGCACGTGTGTTTCAACTTTGAGTGCATTCCATTTTGTACTTACAGCGTTTGCAAACATCATTTATTCTTATTTAATATTTGATAGACAACAAGAATGAACTGATGTGCTTACATATTGAAAACGGGACACACCCTTTGTGTGTGACATTTTTCAATCGCGGCATTCATAGTCCGTTCTTATTACAAAACTGTCTTAAGTAATGTCTTTTTTAAGTCGCTAATGCATCTCTGTGATTGGTTTATAACACCTCCAAGACTGTCTTACTTAAGATAGTCTTGAATATAAGAACTGATTATCGATCGCGGAGATGTATTGGAGAAACACCGAAAGTTCGATCCATACTCCTTCTCGAATATCAACTTGTTGCCCGTACTGTTCGCTTTTATACGACCTCCATTAATTCACGGCGCACTTAATTGCCCTGTATGTGGCGTATTTAATGAAATTGTGAAATGTAATACATTATAACGAAGCTATAAACGAGCGACGCGCGCGTCTCTCTTAAAGCACTATTTCGCAAAGTCGAAGATTGACGTTTTATGATATCAGTCGCCGTGTTATTATAGAAGAATACTGTTTGATCTTTGTTAATGAACTTGTAGAAGAACAACACTACCGCTGCCAGGAGAATGGAGAAAATGACGAGAAATTAAACATGGTCGGCGTATACCTTGGAGAGAGCAAGGAAAACCGTGGAAAAAAAGAAAGCTTGAGAGCTATTCCCGGGAAAGATACGCTCGTAAAAGATAACGAAGTTATTTCCTGCCGTGCGTGTTCTTTTCTACGGGTACTCATTTTTTGTTCACGCGTGTTCATTTTTCTTAAAACATTGTAATCATGGTTAATCTCATTTTGTAGAGACCAGACAAAAGAGTCGGGTGTTGTCCAAGAAAATGCTGAGAAACTTTGAAATTCTATTCCTGCAAAAACGTTCTCTTTCTCTGCCCTTTTCCGAAGTGATTGTTATACGAGTATCTTTGAGAACTAAATTTGAAGTTGGTTCGCCGTCGCAGAGTGACGTACGACAATATGTTCGAAAATAGATAACGGATTTTAAATTTGTCAAGTGACATTTCGGCGAATTATTTATTCACGATCAACCTGATCGGAATAATACCTTATACAAAATTATAGGAAGCGCATCGCCATATCTGTCTCTCATGTTAAATATTCAAAAATATTCGTTACGCTAGTCAATAAAATTCAATGTTTTTTTGTAAAGCAAATAACAATGGAATTAAATTAAATGCAGGTTTGAAACGTTCGATGTATCATACATATGTATAAACAGTAAACAATCGAGAAATACAAGTCGTATAAAATTTTGTTTAAATTGTTTGAAATTGTAGAAATAGAAACGCAAATGAAGTCTGACAATGCGATGCGCAGTTTTTAGAAATTTTTTCGAAATTCACACGTAAAAGATGTCGATAGTAGTTTATTGTTGTAAAATTTTTAATTCATTTTAGCAGTATTACGCCTTCGAGGTAACTTTATCAAACACCGTAACGTTCCAACGAAAGTTCTATAGCGGTTTTCATTGTACAGGTCCATTCATAAGGTAAAATCAATGACGAATTGGCGCAAAGAATTCTGCGGTTGTCGATTGGCCGCAGCGCGTCGCCATGATGCCACCGTTAACCAATCAACATCCTATTCGCGGTATTCGCGTTTTCTCTCTTGCTCTGCCATTCGTCGCGTGAAACAACGCTCTTTGGCCAAGCAAAACACGACAAGGGGAGCAACGCGTGACTTGTGTGGAGCAAATGCTACTACTTTCTCGTGAAACAATTAACCATACCGCTTCCGTTTCCGGATGTCAGAATTTTGCGTGATATCAGCAGCTTTCAACTTTAGGAAGCAGTAGCTTAAAAAAGGAAACTTTCCACGAGACCGTGCAGTACAAAGTTCAAATTTAAAATTATAACGGTGTGCGCTTCAAAATACAATAATGACATAAAATTGAGCCATCTTTTTAAAAAAATTTAAATACAAAGAATTGAATGTTTATCTTTATGATACACAAAAAATATATAGCTGGCATCATAAATGACTATAATTAGTCATTTACTATGTCAATTATATATTATTTTTGTACAACAGAATTTTAAATATGATTATTATTACTAACATTATAGCAGTAATGACCGTAAAAATGGAGCGTTTAACTATAATTATTTTACCACGCAATTATAAGCACAAATTATAGTCACAGATACCAAACATTGTTCTCTCAATATATCTTTATGAATAGCTCTTTCTATTTAACGAAACGAGTCCTTGATCGATATAATATTAGAAATTGTGGAGATTATTATTCTTCGCGGAAGAACATGATTGCCTTCCTGTACGTATAACGATCCTGGTAATTTACCATAATCGCGTATACGACCTTTGTTTTACTTCGCATGAAATCACCGCATAAAAAGCATTGAGTCATAAAGGCTGAGTCGTCCTGAAGAAGGTGTGTCATTAAAATTAACCCGTTGTGTAATATTCACGGCCTCTAACCAGACGGTTGCATGTTATTGTTTCAGGTCCGTCTCACTGAGAGCAAATCAAGGCAAAACGTGGCGGATTCGGTGACCCCTCGACTGTGATCAGGCCCATAGGCAGTAGGTAGGGCAAGGAGATGCGCGAATATAAAATAGTGGTACTGGGCAGTGGAGGTGTAGGCAAGTCCGCCCTCACTGTCCAGTTTGTCCAGGAAATCTTCGTAGAGAAGTATGACCCGACGATCGAGGATAGTTACCGCAAGCAAGTCGAGGTCGACGGTCAACAATGTATGTTAGAAATTCTAGACACAGCCGGTACGGTAAGTATCTCTCCTCTTAACACACATTTGCTGTTTTTTTATTTCGAATACACGGATATACCATTAAGACGAGAAATTGATTTTATTTATTTTAGTCTGAGTGTTAATTTTGACTTGTTTTTCTTTCTGTACTGTTCGTTTTGTTCACGTAATGTGGAAGTCTTTATGAAGTAGCATAAAGACATGTTGTTTCATTTATCTCTTAACGCGTCGCGTAACTTTCTCTTTTACTTTATGATTGTAACAATACGGATTGCATTTTTGAGTGACGTTATCATATTCTTGTCTGTTCGCAGGAACAATTCACAGCCATGAGGGACCTTTATATGAAAAACGGGCAGGGCTTCGTGTTAGTGTATTCGATAACAGCACAATCAACCTTCAACGACCTGCAAGACCTCAGAGAACAGATCTTGCGAGTAAAGGACACAGATGATGTGCCGATGGTGCTAGTAGGTAACAAGTGCGACCTGGAGGATGAGAGGGTAGTAGGAAAGGATCAGGGTGTCAACCTTGCCCGGCAATTCAATTGCGTGTTTATGGAGACCTCTGCCAAAGCTAAAATTAATGTTCGCGATGTGAGTTGTGATTCTTTCAATTTCATTTATTCTGATTTAAATAGCATTTTATAATCGTATTTTACAATCTCATCACTCGTCTTTTAATGAAAGTAATTAGCTCGCAATACTTTGTACAATGTTAATAATGTCGTATTCTAATCGATAAACTTCTATAGTTGACGCAGCCAAGTTTTAACAATCATTTGTCATCTTTCGCTTTCAGATTTTCTACGACCTGGTGCGACAAATAAACAAGAAATCGCCAGAGAAGAAGATGAAGCAGAAGAAGAAATCGCTGTGCCTACTTCTGTAAGGTATATGTGGCGGAGCCCATATTCTCCTACATGAAAATCCGAGGATACCAGTGGATTAAAAAAAAAGGACCGGAGCGGTTATAAAACAAGGAAGACACTAATGACAAAAGAGGAGGAGGGGGCTGACGGAATATTAGGCGACAGTAGAACGGGAGTCTACGGTACTGAAATCCGAATGGTTGTAAGACGATGGTAGAGAGACGGGAGAATAAGGGCATATAAGGGCACAAGGTAACGCAGCGGAGCGAAGAACGAAGAGATACGTGCAAAGGAACGCAGCGATAAACGGAAGGAAATATTGTATATAACATTGGTTCCGGGATGGCTCGTGTGCACGCGCAAGCAACGGCGCACAAAGTAGGATACGAGACCCCGCAAGCATCGGTTATCACTGTAGGAATTTTGCATGAATAAATGAAGGGGAAAATGATTAATTAATAGTATATATTTAGGAGAAAGGAAGAGATAAGAAAAAAAGAAACGTTTGTGGACGTGCGCGTGCGCAGGCCACCAGCCCCCATGCATCGCGCTCTCGCCGCGCACCTCTCTCTCTCTTATATAATATAATAATTATACATAGATGGTACTTGAACATTATTGCTATTATTATTAATATTAATTATTATTATCGGATCATCAAAATATTCATAAGTTATCGAACTGTTTGTTTCTCAAACAAAGTATGTTTTTCTATATCTCTCCGTATTAAGACAAATAAAAAAATCAATGAATGTTAAAAAAAGGGCCCAAGTTTCCTACTCTTGTAATGCAACCTGGATTTCATTTTATTTCATTCCGAGCCCCCTTTGTCTCGTTTGTGAACTATGTTCTGCCGTTCGCCTGATTACTGTAGATAATTTCTCCTTGTTTCGTATAAATCTACATCAAGTAACATGTAAGATAAGAAGAACGGAATAAAATAACTTTGTGATATACGCAATGTAATTGAGATAACCAATGTGAACATAGGAAAATTTACTACTACTATATCGCAATAGATACAGACGTACGAGTGCGAGAAATCTCAATTAAATGCGTACAATTGTGAAACAATCGCGAAACGTACGCAGAATCTATTTATACAAGAAGATGCGAATTTCGCGAGATATGTATTCTACAAGAGTATAACAAGATTGTTACTGCGTTTGCTTCTAAAAAGTAGAGTGTGGGAAGAGATCTTGTTATAAAATTGCAAAATCTGACAACGCCGTCTCGTCTTCTTTTATTATTGGTCTATTAAAAATATACAACAGCGAGCGCAATAACACCTTTTTTTTTAAAATTCAGTATTTAATATTTCACGCTGTGACCGTAGCTAGAACCAAAAGCGATGAAACGCCACCGTAGCCATCACGCCGCTGAGACACACGCTATGAGAGAATATCCTCCATGTCGTCGCCGTGCTTGTGATGTTGCAACAATTGTCCGTCGCCTCCATCATGACCTGCGGATAATATTCGTTCCAGAATGCGAGCGCCTTGTAGTCCACTGCGTCCGGCTCGTTCATCTCGATAGTTTTATCGATGATCAAAATTCTCGGATTGTCCTGCGTGTAGGGCTCCCACTTGACCGATACTGTCCTCTCCACGAAGGAAGGATCCCCGGTTTTGGCGAACGTTGTCAGCATCGTCATCATCGACTCGGACATCCTTTTGTCGTTGAAGTTCCATTGCGTCCCACTGACGCCCGTCATATGCGGTAGACCCCAGACGAATGGGAGCTCGAACATGTGCGGCACACCGGCCCATTCCGGCACGTCCTTCGTGACCGGTTGTGTCTTGGGACGATAGTCAAACCGATATACGAAAGCCGTCGATTTTTTCTTCGTCACTTTATCGGCCAACAGTGTCAGGCCAGCCGCGAAATTCTTTTCCGTTTGCAGGTCCAAGTATTTGTCGCGGAACGCCGTCATGTTTGTCGTGGTTGGATATGGTCTATAGAAGAATAGCACCGCGTTTATCACCATCTCGGGCTTCGACTCACACGTGCTGTTGTCATCTGGGATCTGCACTGCCGCCGTGAACTCGTCTGTGATCATCTTCTCGAAGTTCTCCGAAGAAAGTCCGCCCTCTGGATTCTTATTATTAATGATCTCCATGTACGCCAAAACTTGCTCGTTATTCGTGTAGCCGACCATCAGTGGCACCGCATTGAAGTTACCTAATTCGTTGTTTTATTAAAGTTTAAGAAAAATTTAAATCGTACCGAAAGAAATAAAATATCGAAAGGATATCTAAAAGAATATTGAAAAAAATTCAAATAAATTTTTAGAGAGCAAAAAAACATTTGAATATGCTTTAAAGTATCTTCGCGTATCTTTAAATCAGTACTAAGATTTTCCCTTGTGTTTATTTCTACCAATGTTAAACTCGGTTTAATTTATTCTTTATCTTTTTCTAATCCTCAAAATATTAGAAAAAGATAAAAAGTAAATTAAATCGAGATTAAAGTTAATCTGCATTGGTAGAAGTAAACATTAGTATCAAAATATAAAACGGAGTTTTATAGAAAAAAAAGATCTTTAGATCAATATGATGCTTTTTAAACATCTCCGCTTGTCTTTAAATTGATTTTAAAGATTCTCTTATAGAGAGAATCATATAACATTATCATTACCACTTTCCAAAATGTCCTTCGGATGTTGCGCAAGAAATGGTTCCGTCTCGTTGTTGGTTTCGGCATCGACGATCGGACCCCAGCTCTCGATGTCAGATGAGTACTTGATTAAGTGATCGGCTGGTAGTCGACGTAGGCATTCTATCAGCTCGCTGGTCGGTTGTCGAGAGCAGCTAAATCTGTCTGCTATGATGTCGACGACCGGCTTCTCTCTTTCTAGTGTGCCAACAGAACTGATAGCGTCCCCGCTCATAGCAATCGCCTTGTGGAACTTCCCTTCACTGAGAGGACTCAGCATGTGCAGTCCTACACTTATGGCACCGGAATTGTGACCGTAGATGACAATGTTGCTGGGCGAGCCGTTGAAGTACTTGATGTTTCGCTTTATCCAGTCGAGGGCGGCGATTTGATCGAACATGCCATAATTGCCGGATGCCTCGGAGTCCGTCGTCGTGAAGAATCCGAGGATGTTTAATCGATACGCCACCGTCACCACTAGCACCTGCCGGCCGCAAAAGTCGCTCCTCTTTAATCTCGCGGATTGTTAAAGCTTTTCTCTTTTTTTTTTAGCGTGTGCGCGATAAAAATCTCACCAGTAATCGTTACCAAAAGTTTCAAGATTTACTTTAGTTTCGTAATTCGTGCCACGCAAGCGATCAATTTGTCCTCTTTTCTCCGCGGTGAGTTATTCCTGAGAGCCGTAAACGATACCGCATTATGTACATTCCGTCAGATGTATAACGAAAGCTCCATTAATAATGTATCGCGAGCGAATATCAAAGGGTGCGGTTCTATGCTAGAAGTAACGGCACGCGAGATGAGGAAAAGGAAAAGGCTCGGTCTGATTCCCTTCGATTTTACGTCCGCTCAGTAAATGTCCGGAGAATTGATTGAACACCGTTAAAAATACACGTTAATCATCCTCTCTCCTCCCAGATATCGTGATTGTATCGGTATTGATTAGATCGCTGACCGGGTCACGTTAATTTCAATCTTAGATTCCGGCTATTTTGCAAGTATTCCGCGTAATGCAATGTCGCACCTTCTGTTTGGAAACGAATACAGAGGCGTCCCAGATCGCTGGAGTTCCAGTGTTGAAATCGCCACCGTGGAACCAAACCATCACTGGCCATTGGTCGTTCTGACGGTTTCCTACACATATGAAATATTCGTTAACTATCAGAATCATCAGTCTATCGAAAGAGGGATGTTATACTGGTAAGGTTTTATTTTATTGTAAGTCTCACGCAAGCTGGATCATACTCTGTAATATCCAGACAAGGTCTGAACATGTATGATCTATACTTTTTAAATATAAGTTTAAGGGTTTCGTAAGTATTAACGAAAATAGACAAAATCAATATTTTTTTAACGAATCTAATATCTTTTCTTTTATGATTTCATGATTTTAGACTATAAACGTCTTTTTTATCAAAATAAAGTAAAAGGAAATTGGATAATATTTTATTAAAACTTGACTGCGCTAAAGATAGACTGTAATAATCGTAGTCTGCTTGAATAAAATTTTTAATGCTTCTTTTCATATTATTTTTATTAAAGCAAAATATAGATAAAAAAATCTTAAATAATATTTTATTAGTGAACTACTCGAATAATGTTTTAGCAGTGAGTAATATTTTATTAGAATTAGATTGTTCCAAGGATAGGCTGCATTAACTGCAGTAGATTGCTCGAGTAAAGTTTTAACCTTTCTCATATTATTTTTATTAAAATAAAAAGTGTAGAAGGAAATCTTGAATAATATAATATTTTATTAAAACTCGATTGCGTCAAAGATATAGGTTGTGGTAATCGTAGGCTGCTCAAGAAAAGTTTTAGTGTGTTTCTTTTCATGTTACTTTTTATTAAAATAACTTGTAGAAGAAAATCTCGATAATATTTTCTTAGAATTTGCCAAAGATAGGCTGCAATAACAATAGGTTATTCAAGTAAAATTTTTAGTGTTTCTTTTCATATTATAATCCCATCGTATAGATCGAGAAAGAGAATTTATGTGAAGCCACCGCATACACATCCAAGATTCTATTTCCAACCTATCGAGCTTGTTACGATAACGGGGACCGGTACGAGATTCCCTACTCCCCTGTGGTTTCCTGAACACGGACATTCAGTCCTGCATTATCGTCCTGTCGGTTTCTTAGCGACGACCTTGACAGACTTGCATATGTTTCTTTCTTTCGGTATTTTCCGCATTCAAATTATTGTCAACGGAGGGGGTTGCAAGTACGCCCTAATGTCGCGCCGATAGCGCGACCCGGACCTTCCGTAAGTATGAGTATGGTATCCGATGTAGCTTCTTATGCGAATCAATGACTCATGACGACGAGTCGTGGCGATTCAACGACTTCCTCACTGAAAGACGACCAAAGGAACGAAAAGAGAGGGTAAGAGCGAGAAGGCGAGCTTTCGTGACCGGCTTTCTGGTATCTCCACATCTCAGGCCGGGGTCCTGGAAGATCGCGTGCCACCGCGAGCGCGCTAGTTATCGTTACTACTCTTACTAGCTCCACGTTATATCGACCTCGACTAGCGTCGTCGTCGTCGTCGTCGTCGTCGTCATACGTTGTTTCGTGCCGCGAATTCGCGACTCCGAGATCAGTCCTTTTTTTTCTTGGACGGGGGAAAGAAAAAGAGAGACGCCGTTTAGCGGTTGCCGCTGACGATTTCGTTTGATGGTGGCCAAAGTATGTCGTGAGCTTTCGATTTGCATTCAGCCAAAGCTAGACGTGTATTTGAAATACTTTTATTTGAAAAACAGTACTTGTAAGACAATTATATTTTGTATTTCAGCGGAATATGAAAATATTTTGTTTTGTATTTCATGGAAGCATATAAAGTATCTTGTGTTTTGTATTTCAGTATTAATAACAAAAGGTTGAAAATATTTTATATTTTATATTAATAACAAAAGGTTGAAAATATTTTATATTTTGTATAATTTTCAAATACTGAGAGAGAGAGGGAGAGAGAGAAGGAGAGAGAGAGAGAGAGAGAGAGAGAGAAAAAAAAGAGAGAGAGAGAGAGAGAGAGAGATTGACAATCAATCTTATGATTTGAATTACAAAATACAAAAAACTTTCAGTCTTTTAATTTTAAATACAAAATTTGTAATACTTTTACGTGTTCCACTGAAATACAAATCACAAAATATACATTTATATTGCAGAAAATTTTTAATTATAAATTTTTAAATACTTGTCCAGCTCTACATTTAGCTTCACCCATTCTATCAGTTTTTTCTTCTGTACATGCATATTCGAGCTTTTTAAAGGTATACCTATATATTTCCTGGCTATACTTCATTAAATTTGTATTAGGGTAAAACGAGGGCGAGTGGAAAACACAATGCGCAATGCGAAAGCAATTAAAATATTTGCTGCGTCAACGCTGAAAGTTTTAGATAAACTTATTTGAGGCAAAATACTCTTTGTCAGGATAAAACTGTTATTGTTTTTGATAAATCTATTCAGAATTGTAACGTAAACTCTTTTTATAAAATTTTAGTCTTTAATAAGTTTTAAATATTCATTTAAAATTTTTTAAGAACTTTTTTTATATTTATTCTACAAAATATTTTAATTAATTCTGTACTCATCAAGTTAATTAAAAGGGCAGTTTATAATCTATTTAAGATAAACGTATTTTAATTAATTCTGTACTCGTAAAATTAATTAAAAGGGCAGCTAATTAAAAAAGCAGTTTATAATCTATTTAAGGTAAACGTTATTATTAATATTTTTTATTTGTTAATAATTTATTTTTTGCTGGTCGTATTATTCTCAATTTAATCTTTTCTTGAAAAGTGATACCAATATAAGTAAAAAAAAAACCTTGAAAGAAATAATCATTGAGAACAATCGAGCGTGACTGAAGTGTAAACTTCACGGAAGAATTATCTGAGTTAAACCATATCGAGTATTAACAGAATGTCCACCTTTATGCTTTTTATGTTGCAACGATGTGATAAATCTTCTCTGCACGACACTAGGCCTTCACAAGGCACCTTATTCATTTTTTGCTTTGGTCTACTTTTATCTGATCGCAGTGGTATAATGCTCGCCCCCACGGGTAATCACCGCAATCACCTCTTTTCTCTCGAACGATAAGAATCAGTCTCCAAGAACTTGAGGGCGAGCTTTATCTTGCGGAACGAACTTCGCTGTTGACCGCGGTCATTTTTCGTTGCGTTTCGTGTCCTAACGTTGTCGAAGTTTACGTATAGAAAAGAAATAGCACGCAGATAGTATCAAGGATTATCATCAGTCAAATATTTTCTCTATCAATTATATTTATGCAGGGTTGTAAACGTTACATAAAAAAATAACGAAGTTACTGGTTTCGTTACTTTTTTTAGTTACGAATGAGTAACGTAGTTACTTTTCCTAGCGAGTAATAGTAATGGTAACTAAGTTACAATTTTCAGTAACGAGTAACGAAATTTTATGTTACTTTTCTCGTTATTCCGTTGATACAGAGTTAGGGTGAAATCACACGGTGCAGAAAAGAACTGCGGAATAGAGAATGCGCCATTGAAGCAACCAATTAGCACTATTCCGCACTTTTCCATCACGCAAGTTTTGTGTGCTATGTTCACATGATGCGTCAAAGATGCATCCAGGATGAATATCTATAATTTAAAAGAAAGACTTTTTAATATTGTTGAACTCGTTTTGTCGAATTTTCGACACCGCCTAACAGACGGACATTTTGAACAATTGTATTAAAAAAAATTCAAGATTTAGGGAAATAAATCCATCATAATTTAAAGTTAAAAAATATTCTGCTATTTCTAATGTAAATTGATATGTATCAAATGTATCAAAACCAATAAATAAAGAACTCATAAAATAAAAAATAAAATAAAGCTAATAAAATATAAAATGAAACAAAACTATAAATTAAAAAACGATTTATTCTTATATAGCTATATTTATATAAATATAATCATTTTTTGAAAAGTAACGAAAAAGTAACGGATTTTTTCGTTATTTTTAAGTAACGATAACGCATTCCTGTTACAATCGGTAACGAATAACGAGTAATGTATTACTTTTTACTGCAAGTAATGGTAACTGTAACACGTTACTTAAAAACGGTAACGTTAACAACCCTGTATTTATGACAAGACAAAATTCATGTCACAAAAATTACAACCTTCCTGTAAGAATGAACGAAAGTATGTACAATCTGATTCTTTCGTTCTTACCATCCCAGTCAGAAATGATTTCATTGAATTGATATCGAATCGATATCGATAGGATAATTTCAATATCAATTAGACATCGAGTATTAACAGAACATACACTCCCCCGCAATCACTTTTGCCATACCTAAGCCGAAATTTATTAAACTTCAAAGTTTAATATCTTTGCGGAAAATTATCGTAGCTTAAAAAATCGAACGGCATTTCAAAGGTTATTGCAACAGCTTTCATTTAAGCAGAGGAAAAATTGAAAAGACGCATAATTCTATTTTTTATGGATAAAAAACGAACAAGAAAAAATACGATATTTTTTATCTTTAGTTAATTGCTTGCCAATTTGAAATGAATAATAGTAGGATAATGAAACTAACGGGGTTTGAAAGGTATGCCTTTTACCTTTAAAATGATCGCCCGCCCATTTTTGTGCGACGTTTCTTACCGGAGTTATGAGTATTTTTATAAAAAAACATGATTTTGTTTATTTTCTTATTATCTCGAAAACTAAGAGCGATAGAAAAAAATGTTAAATACAAAAAATACTCGTTTTTAGGTAGAAAATACAAAAATAAAGTCAAAATTAAAAAATCGAAAAAATTTTTTTCTTCATCTTTTTAGGTAGAAAAAATTTTTTTAATTTCTCATTTTATGTGATATAGTTGTTAATTATTCAAAGTGTAATTTAGAGTTAAAATTAATTGATGTTATTACATTGTGTCACTATTATAATTTTGAGTAATTTATTGTAACATGACATATTATGTACTGTGTACGTTATAAAATAAATGTTCTAGAATTAAGAAATAAAGATTTTTGTTGTTTATTAAAAGAATTTGTTATTTAATACATAAATCAAATATATAATAATTTTATAAAATAATTCGTAGTGCCTAATAATGGAGAAAAAAATTTTCATTATCATTAAAATATTAATGTGTATATTTTTAAAAGTAACGCTACACTTTGTTCGTATGTATAACTTTGAATAATTAACAACTATATCACATAAAATGAGAAATTAAAAAAATTTTTTCTACCTAAAAAGATGAAGAAAAAAATTTTTTCGATTTTTTAATTTTGACTTTATTTTTGTATTTTCTACCTAAAAACGAGTATTTTTTGTATTTAACATTTTTTTCTATCGCTCTTAGTTTTCGAGATAATAAGAAAATAAACAAAATCATGTTTTTTTATAAAAATACTCATAACTCCGGTAAGAAACGTCGCACAAAAATGGGCGGGCGATCATTTTAAAGGTAAAAGGCATACCTTTCAAACCCCGTTAGTTTCATTATCCTACTATTATTCATTTCAAATTGGCAAGCAATTAACTAAAGATAAAAAATATCGTATTTTTTCTTGTTCGTTTTTTATCCATAAAAAATAGAATTATGCGTCTTTTCAATTTTTCCTCTGCTTAAATGAAAGCTGTTGCAATAACCTTTGAAATGCCGTTCGATTTTTTAAGCTACGATAATTTTCCGCAAAGATATTAAACTTTGAAGTTTAATAAATTTCGGCTTAGGTATGGCAAAAGTGATTGCGGGGGAGTGTACATCTTCATGTTTTTTATGATAGATCTTTATTACTTCAGCATTTACAAATTGCTAAGAAGGGACTTGGTTTATAAATAAATTTTTCTTAACCACACTCATTCTTCCACACTACAAAAAAAAGAACCCGGTAAAAAATTTATCATGCATGACTATGTATAATTATGTATAAACATACATAAACATGTATAAATATTCATAAACATACATAATTTTATGAAATATGTCCATACATGTTCATACGTCCTTCTTTCTTTTGTAAAATTACTTTTTAGTGTAATGGAAATAATAATAGTAATGTGAAAACATTAAAAATAATTAAAAGGGTGATTTTTGCTCTATTTGTTTGAGAAAAAATCAAGTTTGAAGAAATGTAAAAAAATTACTTATGTATAATTATATATAAAGTTATGCATATAATTGTGTATGAGCAATTTTTTTTTCATTTTTCCAAATATGTTTTTTTCTAAAACGAACGTTTTTTCTAAAATGATGCGAAAATTATCCCTTTAATTATTTTTGATTTTCACATTACTATGATTATTTCTATTACATTAAAAGTAATTTTACAAAAGAAAAAGAGATGTATGAATATGTATGGACATATTTAATTATAATGGACATGTATAATTATATAATTATATATGTTTATGAATATTTATACGTGCTTGTGTATGTTTAAACATATTTGTACATATTCATGAAAAATTTTTTACCGGGAACCTAACACTATTTGAATCTGTTTAAATTTCCTTATGCACTATGTCTCAGAAAAGAAGCACAAAAAATGCTTTTTATGTAACAACGACGTGATAAATCTCGTTCTAATAACAGTCATTTTTTATTGAGATATGTCTGCATTCTTTGAAGGGTACATTTGGATTCTCCGAATCTGAGACATTTGAGTGCTCTTAGCCATTCAAAGGTCATTCGGATTCTCACTTGGAAGTACTTAAATAAGCTCTCAACCCAAAATTAGAATCGTAAAATACCGAAAAATAAAGTAAAATTTCGTAAAGTATCTACCTAAGTAAAGTGTAGTCTCCTAAAATACTTTTTATCAAAAATATCATCCGTGTGACTCCATGTATCGTTTTAGCCTTGTTTAACATTTAGTGAACAACAAGAATAAAACTAAATTGCATTCGGATGGTATGTCTGAACGTAGAAACCGAGAAACTAAACTCATTTTCCCAGCGATCACTTATCGAGTGAGAAATCTGTACGCATTCCAGATGGAGAGAACACGAATGAAAAATTAATGCTCGAAACAGGAATAATATTGTTAAAAATTTATAATAATATATATATTGAATCTAAAGTCATCATATATTTAAAAAGTGGATTTGAAACAATTCTTGCGATCTGGAGACTTATAGAATTTAGTATATTCAATTTTGACTCCACATGGATACAATTAAACGCACATACCTTCGCTTGGGACGAAGATGTTCAAGAAAAGACAATCCTCGTTGAATCCTGGATCTGGCATATCCAGTGGTAACAATTGCTTGAAGAGTTTTTCGTGCAATTTAAGTTGACCCGTAGCCTGCGGGCAGGACGGCGCGAACTGCGTTGCATTTTTCACCTCGTTCCAAGAAGGAAGAGGCTCTGTCATTGGTCGCATGAAACGAAGATTGTCAACCGGAGGTTGTGCGTAAGGGATACCGAGATACTGCGTTAGTCTTACCGTGTTGAGAGTTACCTAAATTTCAGAAGTTTATATACGATAAAGGAAGAAACATTTATCGAAGACTAAAAATAATTTTAATTAGTTTAATTTATATCATTTATTTCGTTCTAAAATTAAAATAAAATGAAACGAATCTGTAAAATTAGTGTTCTCTTGTTTTCAATTTAGAAAAAGAAACTGCGCATTAGCAAAAGTTAAACTTAAATTATGCTTATAAAATTAATTGTCTATTTATAGACATTTTATTTAAAGATTTTTATAAACATTCTATTTAAGGATTAAATCAAACTTAATCAATCTTAATCGAACTTTAATAATTAGAATTAATGATACCAAATTTTATTAAATTGAAAAAAAAACATTTAACTTGATATATATCATTTTCATTTTTATCTCTATTTAGAATTATAATCTCATTATAATTTAGATAAAAAGCAAAATTAGTGAAATTAATATCCAAATTAACAGATGTAAAATCAGCTGTTTACTTATAGATGACTCTCGTCTAAAGATTTAAATTTCTGTCAACTTGATGGTTTGAGATGAACAGAGACAAGTCTTAGCAAATATAAAAACTTAACACCGACAGAAAGAAATTGAAGCTCAGTGTCGCACCTCTTTACCGAGGACGGTTCCCTGACTCGGTATCTTAACGGTCGGATTTTCGCGATTGAGACCCTGTCGCGCATGGGTCCTCTGAGCGCGGCTAACGTGGGTCCTCTGGACGAGAAGCAGGGTAGACGCAAAAAGCAGCCACGTCGCGTGCTTCATTCTGCAGACTGACTGGATTCCGCCAGGGAACGTACCGCGACGGTTCCTCGAACCACCTCCAGTTTCACGGAGGTTGCTTCGCGTGACTCCCTACGTTTCGCCTTATTCCACGATCACCCGCTCACCCTCGGTACCTTGGGTTCATTTTCTTGGGTTGGCGGTCGGTCGTGAGCGACCTGCGCTCTTTCACTCTTTGCGCTTTTACGTTTGACGGAAAATTCGCCACTCCGTGCCCTCCTATTCCGAAACACCTGCGAAAAGTAGAATCACAAGCTTGTGATACCGGAATATGTTTCAGTGATAAACCCGATAATGATTGCATGACTAAAATGCGTAATAAATATTTATGTAAAAATTATTAAAAAAATTATGTGTCGACGCATCCAGCAATTATTTAATATTTAAATATATCTAAAGGAGAAAATAATATATAAATAAATGTACCTATAAAGGAATATGTATTAGAGAGGATGGAGTTACAATTCACGGTTTGGTAGCACTAGAGGCAGCATCTCACACATCTCTCAGTTTACAATGAAATAAGTACACAGTTGAAAAAAAATGTGTTGAATTTAATATAAATCGCATGTCCCAAACGGTCCACTCAAATTTTTGAGTTAATTTTACACAAGATGAATATGTTAGAAGGTAACACAAATATCCAAGTAGAACACAGAAATCATGAAGACATCATCATGACCTCATTCGTCATAAGTCCATTTTTAAGTATCAAATGACATCATGATGACATTCTGTGATATCATTATGACTTAATTATAACTCCGTGATCTACCTGGGTATTATGTAAGAGAATAAATACAAAGAAAGACAACATCGGCACAGTTTGTAAACAAGTCGTGGGAACATTTTTATTTTCAGAAAATTAACATTTATGATATGTTAAATAAACACATATTTCATTCATGTCTTAGAATTTACGTTTTAAAACACATTATTTTTATGTTACTTGTTCACTTACTCATAAATTGTATCATTTTGACACTAAGAAACAAGAATTGAATATCAATTTCACAAAAAATGTTTAAATAACATAATCACATTATGTTAAATTAACACTTGAATATGTCAAAAAATTCAACACAAATTGTTAACACAAACGTGAGTGGACCGTTTCCAACACAAATACACAGCTTTTTTTACTGTCTATAATTTATCAATAAAGAAGATCACGACATACACGAGGCTGATTGATGAAGATACGCACGGATAAGATGCAGGATAAGAATGCACATATCTATATGTTCGTATGCATATAAGTTAAGGCCAGACACGACTACAATTGGCTACGGATCAGGTATTCATTTCCATAAAAGTATTAATCGCGATGCAAATAAGCGCCGACGCGTGAAATATAACCCGAACTTTATCAAACCACTCGGTGGCACCCTCACGTTATTACAAGGTGCAAGTAGACACTGTATTGTAACGATTGACCTAAAAATTCAGTTAATGGCAGAATTTTGAAATATGTATGACACTTTGTCGATAGATTGCATGAAATACTGCGATGTTATTCATCGTAGCACGCAGGAGGAGTAAACGTGGGAAAATTTACTGCTGTGTTCTATTATACCTCTGTACTGTTTTTCTTGGACTCTTGAATTCTTGCCGCAGCTTTTCTAATTAATTCGCATAATGTATGTATGATCGATAACGTTCGGGGGGTGAAGAAGAATCGGAGACGCCGAATGAAGAGTTTCGTTAAGGCGTCGAAGGCCTTGAAAATCGATACAGGGGTCTTTCGCCCCGAAGAGAGAGAGGGGGGGGGCAGAGGGAGCAGGTAACACGCTATCATTAAGATGTAATCTTCAAGCACCTCTAGCTAGCGCGACCTTGAATGTTACACAACCCGCAATTATCTGTGTCCGGCCGAAAAGTCCTTTCTTCAGCTTTGATCGTAATTACGAGAATGGATGGCGTGTCGATAAATTATTCTATAAATTACTCTATATAAAACTTGCAAACATTTCTTTCAATACGGTACATGAGGATTATACAAGCAAAATATCTTCCGAATCTTCAGCTTTCGTTTCTGAAAACAATTGTCGAAATTTTTTCTTGTTATTATTTTATTCTTTATTTGTGCTCTAAATTTGTCGGAAAATGCTTTTTGCCAGGAAAAACATCACAATTAAAAGTTTAAATCAAAAAGCTAAAAGTTTGGTACATCTATTGTGTATCGAGACTTAATCTTTATTGGTTCGATTAGGTGCGCCAGTTATCGATGCAAATCCTATTCAATCATGTCTTTTTTTTCATAATAGCCAACGCGTAACGTGAAGGTGCAGTTACACCTCTCTCGCTGCACCGCCATTCGAAGTCGGACAGCACAGTGCCGTAATACGTAACATAAATTAAACGGGCGTCGCAAAATTTGTGGATTCAAATATCTTTTACAAAATTCTTCGATTCCCAATACACTTATCTGGATACATTTTACAACAAATTATTAAAACACAAAATATAGAAATCTAAGTTGAAATCTGATTGCCTTCTTCGTGAATAAAATAGAATCAAGTTTAATGTGCATTCGTAAATATTTAAATTAATTTTCGAATACTTAGATATTGTTTCATTGAGATCGAGTAATTTTCGTAAATATCATAGATACGCATAATAGTAAAACTTCGTGCAACGAGATTGAATATACATAACAAACGATACCGAAAATATAATTTTAAAGTAAAAACTTATTCTAATTTTTTTAAACTTTTAAAAGCATTTCAAAACTTTAAAGAATATATTAAATTAATTAAATGAATCTATTCATTATATATCTTTTTCTATAAAAATATGCATAAACTGAGATAGGTATAGAACAATATGAGCGTACATATTTAATAAATGTCAAACAAAATATTATTGTTTAATAAAAATTAAATAAGATTTCAAAATAAACTTCTGTATAATCGAAATTAAAAAGCCTATAACGGTCGAAGCTGGATCTTTAATGCTTAAATAATGCGTTTATATAGCCCGGAAAAATAATTCGGCGCGCAGTTCGAAAGACTACAAATATGCAAGTACATGTATAGTATATTTAGTAATTCAAGATTGAATTATTTAAGCATTAAAGATCCAACTTTGACCGTTATAGGCCTTTTAATTTCTATTGGTTGTGTTCTCACATATGCGATCTAAAATTAAAAATTCTTAATATTGTTCTGTATAATCATAATATTTGTAAATTATTCTTTCTTACTTTCAATCGTTAAATTTTTATGTTTATACGATAGTACTTAAAAAAATAGCATTTTATCTTTTTGCTTGGGCAAATTTTCTTCGCTTACTCCGATACTCTTCGTTCTCTCCAATTTTAGTACGAACCTGAGTTAAAGGCTTGCACGAGTGCAACGAGTGCAGTACCCGAAACAACGGGAGCGTACGTGGACTCCAGGTGTTGTTTACTCCAGTTTACTCGTCAATGAGTACTCCTCATTATGAATTATAAGCCAGGAAACGCGGGAAGATGAGCCAATTTGGCGACTCAAGAGGAATCGATCTATTGGCAAATCAGTCCCTATCCTACGAGACGGACGTAATTTTTTCTGTTGTACCGCGTGGTGCTATCATCTTGCGTCGTGCGTTGACTCATACCTGCTCGGACTGCAAATTCCGAACGTATAACTCATAACGCTATGCCGTGAAACAACTAAATCAGGACTGAGCGGATCCGCAATTATTAACATAGAACGCAACAAAAATCACTCACAAAATCACAATGATAATCGCGTCGTCCCTGTTGTTCTTCTGTGGCGTTTACTTTGTGTTTGCTCAAAAGTATGAGGGCTGTTTTCGGAATTCCGATTTAAATGAACTACCCACTCCTACTTTGGGGCACGCCAGTACGCCCGCCGAATGCGTCAAAAAATGTCGTTCTCAATATTACATGTAAGTAAACAATGCAATCTGAGAGATAAAATCCAATCTGAGAGATATATGTATCCCTCTAAAACTTTTAGGGTGACTCTCACTCTGAAGAGTGAAGTCTCACCCTTAAAGATTAAAAATTGAATCACTCTTTTTGAAGATTAGTTCAATTTTCACTCTTTAGAGTAAGATTCCATTCCAAAAAATTTAAAGATTAAATAAATAATGTTTTCGATCTAAGGTATAGTATCGAATGGGTTTTAAGATTGTAATTTTTTGTTCAATAGGTTCGCAGGACTAATGAACGGTCAACAGTGCTATTGCGTTAACAAATTTGGCCAGCCATCAGACAGTTGTACTGTCACCTGTGCTTCTGGTTCTTCTTACTATTGCGGCAGCTACGAAGCTATGAGCGTTTATGCTACCGGTCAGCAAGGTATGATTTGTAGCAATACAAATCTTTTTACTTTATTCCATACATCACAAATGACTCCAGTAACATTGCAGCAACATTGCAATATTTCAACAGTATTGCAGTGCAACATTATAAATGTTGCAGTAATGTTATTGAAAGCTTCTATGCAGTATGGGATATAACTTTTATTATGCTTCGTATTGTATGCATATACTTGTGTGAATACGTTACAATTTACATGAATGAGGATTACGTGTATACCTTTTGTAGGTCCAAGTCCACCGAGAAGAGTATCGGTAACCGAGGAGACAAAAGATACTTTTAAAATAACATGGCTGCCACCAGATATACCCAACGGAATAATAATATTTTATACCATCCGCGCCGTCGTTGAAGAAACATACTCGAGCAACAATTTACCACCTATCGAAAGTCAGATTCAAGGAGGTTCATCGAACATGACGATTCTGAGAGGTCTTCAGCCTGGCACTAAATATCACATATCTATCACTGCCAACAATACACAGGAGTCCAGTGAACCGGCTAATACTACGGGGTGGACTTTGATAGGTCCACCCGACAAACCAGCCATGCCTAAAATATCGGAACGTGGAAAAGACACGATTACCGTCATGCTTACCGAGGGTTACAGCGAGTACGGACCGATTAGCGCATATCAGATTTTTGTTGTGCAAGCTGACGCTATACCTCCGCCGGTCGATGAAGAGTATTTAGACTATGATTCCGCATCGAAACAAGGGTTAAGTTATTACGTTGCTGCGCAATTCGATCCGTTGGACTTTCATAGATACAAAAAGTTCGTCGTGGGCGATGGAAGCATGATCGGTGGTTATCATAATGTTCCGTTGCAAGATCAATTCGTTTCCGCGCAAATCGGTTTGATGATAATCTCGCGGAAAGCAGGGTATATACAACGTTCCTATTCCAATTTGGCCAATACTATACTCAATCATGAAATGAATCAAATGGACACGACTGCTCTTGCGCTTTGCATAGCGATCACGCTGCTGAGTATACTACTCGCCGTTGCGATATTGGTATATTTTGTACTGCGACGGCGACACGAGAGATTCCACATGCAGAAGTTACCAGAGCAGCAGGAACTCACGTTGCAGGGTCCGGTATATGAGGTGGACAATATGGCCTACATTCCGGAGGATATCCCTGAAAGGGTGAATCATTATCAAGAGTTGAAGAAGAAAGTCTGGAGTATACCGCAAAACGTCCTGTCTGTTGATGATAATGTCATACGTAGAGGACGATTCGGCAGCGTGCACACCGGAACCGTTTTGAAGGATGACAAATTCTGTCCAGTAACGATCCACACCATAGTCGACGGCGCACTGAAGGGATCTGATAAGAGGCATATGCTGAGAGAATTAGACGTGTGCATCCGAGCGGGTTCCATGAAATATCTCGCGAGTCTCGTAGGAACCTGCGAGACCACCGACATGTTGTACGTCGTGTTGGAGCTACCGCCTCAGATCTTGAAGGATCGTCTGTTAGGCGCGCGATCGGGGGATGTATTCCCTACAGATCAAATATTGTCCATCTCATCCTCGATAGCGATTGCCTTGCAATATCTGGCGAGCCATAAGATCATCCATAGTCGCCTCTGCGCGCGAAGCGTGGGATTGTCGAGCGATTGGATCCCGAAACTTATGGGTCATGGTATCGCCAAGCATGCTTTGCAAGACTTAAAGTATTCAAGGTGGACGGCCATTGAGTGCTTTGACAATCAGACGAAGCATCAGCCGGGCGTGATATGGGCGTTCGGCGTGCTTCTCTGGGAGATGTTTAGTATGGGTGGTACACCGTACTCAAATTTGGCGCTCGACAGCGAGATGGAGGACGCGATTACGCGAGGTATCCGGTTACCGCAATTATTGGATGTCACAGACCCGATTTACGAAGTCATGTTATCCTGTTGGCGGGACGATCCCGAAGAACGGCCCACGTTCGATGAACTTACACGATTGGTAAGTAACGAAAAATCAGTTCTTTAATAATAATAATATTATACGTCTCTAATAATAATGTTATTAATTCTTGAAATTATATTTACACATATTCTTTATCTTATATAGGATACCTTGAGTGCTTGTCCTATTACTGCAATCACGGAGCCCTACTTACCGGAATTGGAGTTGAATTAACATTCTCATTTACTATCTTTAGACCTGCATTTATTTAGTAACGTATTGAAGTTGTAAATATCTCATTGTGTTCACGAGAATCTCGTAGCCAATTTATCGTTACCAATGTAGGCATACGTTTATTATCTGCATTTTCTCTCTTTCTCTCTCTCTCTCTCTCTCCCTCCTCCTCTCTCTCTCCCCCCTCTCTCTCTCTCTCTTTCTCTGGCATCCTAAATTTAAATTTTACTATAATAATGTGTAAGTGATATAAATGTTACAAAAACATTCGTACTAATTCCGTCCATGTTTAATAAAAAATAACTGAGATTAGTATGTAAGTAACGAAGTTAGGATAAGATTATAAATATTTACATAGACATAACGCATCGAGCATTACGATAAAAAATATTTTATTTTTCGTTTCTACATTATATATTACATTCGTAAATGTCAATTTGTCTCTTTTACATGAGATTTTAATTTACAGCAATACCAAGGCAGAGAAAATACTTTATTACCTGTTGATTGCGAGATCTATAAATATATATTTTTATTATATCTTTCAGTTACTAATGTATTTTAGTTTACGCATTTAAATTCGTATTATCGTATTCATTCGATAATGCTATCACTTCAAAAGTACAAATGTATTAATACCAAATTAATATATGTACGTATCTGTAGTGTATATGTTCTTAAATAATCAGCAAAATTACCACGAAGAACATTCGAATGTAAAACGGAAGATAATCTTTTAGAGACGTTAAATGTTTTTTTTTTTTAAGTTATTCATTTTGAATTTTTTATACACAACTTATGCCATATAAATTGCACTTTTGTGTTAAGTTGAAATATCGATTTTTCTAATGCGTTTTTTAATTTGTCAATTATGATGTACGTTTCTGTTGTATATGTTCCGTCTTCTGCATTTTATAAAAGCATATACTTTGTGTATGTTGTATGAAGCAGAATTTTTATAAAAATATTATATGTCATTATATTATAATATTATGATATAATGTTTGTATATTAAGACGAAAAATACAATTTTTATATATACTTTTCTTGTTATATACGCTTTTCTATGTCTTATTCCAAATGAAAGTAAAAACATTTATTGTCTAGTTTAGCGAAAAAATTGTCTACCTTTTAACTTACTCTACGTATAAACTTAATCTACGTAATCACAAAAATAAATTTTTAATCAAACAGAAATCTACTGTATTTAGATTCGTAATTTAACAGTTAATTCTTATATAGTTAAACTCTAAAAAAAAGTTTCATTTATTTACTAGTCAAGCGCTTAATTTCTTATGAAAAATAAAAAAATGGTACGTATTATTATGCATCGACTTTTTATCGCCATTAATCCGAGGCGATCGATTATTTTCGAAACGGAAGATATGTTTATATCGTGTGGGGTGTCGAGAATTTACTCGAGTGAGAATGCGTTGGTTTGGGACCGATCGTAGGTGTCCTACTTGAAACGGGGCACAGAATTTGTTTGTACGCCTCCCTGTACAGTTTATTGGTGCCAGCATAAATAAAAGGATTTATCACCGCGGATGCCCATGCGAGTACAGACGCCACTATATGAAGTACCGGAACCTTCATCTTGTCGTCGATGACGTTCACCAGCATTAACGGCATGAAACACAACAGGAAACAAAGGAATATAGTAAGCATTAGTCTGGTCACTCTGGAATCTTCCCGCCGTTGAAAGCCACCGCCTCGTCGACCACTTTCCGCCGCGTGAGCCTCGAGATTTTTTCGGCTTCTGCGTACACGCCAATATATGCAGAGATACGAAACACTGATCACCACACATGGTACGATAAAGCCTAGAATGAACAGAAACTTCTTCGGACTCGAGCCATTTTTCTTCAGTATGGTGCACGAAAAGGTAGCCGAATCTAGTCCTAGAGTACCCCAGATGCCTAATAAGGGTGGCAGCAGCATCAAGAAACTTAGAGTCCATATACCTATTAACATCAGCATTATGCCGCGAGTAGTGTATAACTGGTTGTAAATGTCCGACTGTGAGATCAGTATATATCTGGAAAAGAAAAGAGAATTTTAGCTACGTGACTACTAGCGTATATTTAAAAAAATATAGATATATTTACGTTATACTTTTAAGATATATTAAATTACTCTCTGAATTTCTTACAGTGAAATCTCACTCCAAGAAAGTAAATATACAACCACCCTTGAAAAAAAGTGAAAATATTTCACTTCTTGAAAAAGAGTGACAATTTTCACTCTTTTTAGAGTGAATTTTCATTTCAAAGGAGTAAAATCTCACTCCAAAAAGTGAGATTTCATTTTAAAAAGAGTGAAGATCGTTACTTTTTTTTCAAGAAGTGAAATATTTTTACTTTTTTTTCAAAGGTGGTTACATTTTCACCTTCTTGAAATGAGATTTTACTGTAAGAAAAAAGTGTTATAATATATTTTTCTTAAACATATATTAATGCACATTTTTAGGATATATACCTCTTTTTTTATCAAAATTCAAAGGAGAAGAATCATTGTTGAAATTTACCTGTTGATAGTAATGGCCACCATGCTGAGTAAAGATACGGCGACGTTCCCGTAAAAGAATAAGGGGAATATTTTGCATAGAGTATCACCCAGAACCCATGCTTCGTTCAAATATCTACTGGCGGTTAGAGGCAAGTTTACTGCCGAGAAGATCAAATCGGAGATACTTAGACTTATCACAAATGCCGTAGTGGCGTGTCGTCTCAGTCTGGTATATTTTAACAATGCGATTACCGTTACTAAATTACCTGGAATTCAGATATAGGATATTCAATTCATTGTTAAATATTAAAAGTCGCTGTAAAACGATTGGGAGATACAAAACGTTACCTAATACTCCAATAATGCTGAATATTATAGCGCATACTGCAGCAATGATAGTCTCGGAGCGTGTAAATGGCTTGAGTGAATGGTCTCCAGCCTCCGAAAAGATTCCGACGGTGTCGTTTGTCGCAAAGTACCCCATCTTTTAGCAAATGCACAGAACACAATTTTTCTTCCTTCGCATTGTTCGGAAAATTAAAAACCGCCGTGATTCATATGCTGTAAAAAATAAGAAAGCGCATATATAAAAAAATTGTTTTATTTTAACAATTATAAAAACATATAAAACCACAACATATAAAAAAACGTAAACAATTATAAAAACATATAATGCCACAACATATAAAAAAACGTAAAATGTAAGCAGTAAGCAAATCAACATTTTAGATTTGCTACTGTTTTAATTAACTAATTCGCTTACTTCTTACGACTTGCTGTCTTACATTTTTCTATGTATAATATACTATGGTTTTAACATATCTTAATTCTAAGTATTCTGCTGTTAATTTTTATTTTTTCTACTTCTAATTTTTCAGTTCCCGGTTTGTAAAAATTGAAATTGATGGTATAAATAGAAAAAAGTAGAAAAATCTCGAGAATTTAACTCATGAATTTATTTAATTAATGGTTTTATAAATTTATTAAATTAATTTTCGAAAACCTCTCAAAGATTCTTCTCAAAGACTACTTTTTAATTCACCTTTCTCTCGCGAAATAACCGGACCAACGACCCTCGCACGCTATTAAACGCATTAATTTTCCTCATCCACTCTTCGTTTACACTTCTCGTTACTCCTTCTTTCATTCATTAGTTTCTATCTGTTTCGTTAATTCCTTGAATTTTCTCGCCATGGAAAGATAAACAGAGAGAACATGTATCCTTCCATACATACATATTCCGAGGCGCCTTATCGCACATGCCGCATCAATTAATTTCCATATTTCTTCATGTTCGCTCGCTCTGCCATTAAGAACACACCATTAGTCATACCGATAAATTTTTGTGACCTTCTCAGAATACTGCTTAGTGGCTGCAGTAACAACGCGAACTTTGGCCTCAAACAGCAGGAACTCACATCGAATCGTTTCGTGACGCTACATTGTAGTTATTGTTAATTAACTCGCGAAAGGTATTCTTCCAGAAATTACTGTAGTACTTTATAGCGTTCAATTAAATCGCTATCTCTGAACAATTCGCCCCAATTATCCTCTTCCTTCCTTGTAATTAGCTCTTGATCGCTGCAATTCAACTTGTTTCTTAAACAAACTCGTTTTTCTCTCTCGTAATTAAACATGCACTTTCAGAAGTTTACGTTTACATTATGTACGTATTTATTATCATTTTTTTATTTCTTCTCTATTAGTAATATTTTTTCTTCTTTGTACAAAGGAATGTCTTCTTCGATTTAGCGCATCATCACTGCAGATTTATCACTGATTAATTCCAAAAACTCAACATTGTTATTTTTTTTTTAATTATGCGTTAATCCTGTATTTATTCGTAGGTGTTGTAAACTTTGCCACGGTAAATGCAATGCTTAAACTGCTCCCGTTATTTCGGTAGACGCTCGTCCGCAGACTGACGAACTCTACTGACGCGTATCCCTTTACGAGTACACCACAAGTCTCCTTATCTAACTCACTCGATTTAACTCCGCCTCTTCTTCTTCTTCTACTTTTTCCTCTTCTTCTTATCCTTTCCTTCCGCTTTATTCCACTCTTCGCGCCTGTAATTTTACTCCGATCTCAGCATTCAAAATCTCCTGGGATTTATTTAATGCATCAGTGATCGCGATAATAATCCGCAATAATTCACTTTTTATTTAGACACGACATGAGAGAGAGAGAGAGAGAGAGAGAGAGAGAGAGAGAACGCTATAAGAAAAGTATCGTGAAATAAAATGCTCAATATAGGCCTAATCGAATTCATATATATTTTGGATTAATTTAAATTTAAATAGAATTTTTCACTAAAATAGTAATCCTAAACGTTTCTGATTAGTAGTTTAAAATTAATTTAAATGACGATTTAAATTTTATTTAATAACTTATTAAACAACTTCTGTTTACATAAATTATTTTGTTGTAGAAATGAAAATGATATATCTCGTATTATTATTTAGAAAATTAATATTAAAATTCATAAAAATTGTGCAGGTTTCAAATTAAAAATCAATTTATCCAGCTTGTATATCCGCTAAGTCACATCAACATTATCGTAAATTGTTTCTTTGTTTGATACTATTTTTGGAACTATAAAACATATTAGTGCACCGAACATGTTAAGTGAGGCGTGTTGTTCCAAAAATAGCGATTGGGTGGATATTATGTTCTGACGATGTGTGCGATTATCATCCTAACCATTTGTCGCACTCTATTTCACTCCATTTTCATCCATTTCGTTGTTTGCTTTACATGATCGAAAGTTTATTTGTCTAACTCAGGCCGCGCCTCGCTTTATTTTCCTTTAAAGAGAACTGCATATAAAGTCATCGGAAGAGAAAATTAATAAAGATCGATTGCACAAAATTGTAATATTATTTAATCGAATGTTAATTGCATAAAAATAGAAACAATTAACCGGTTGGTAGTAGTAGAAAGTAAAAATTTTGAACACTGTATCAGAGAAAGAACTTTGTAGAATCTACTTTCGCGCGGTTTTGAATACTCGGTACATTCGTGTCATAAGCTAGAAGTATGTTTATTTTCTTTTCTTATATATGTCTTGTTTTCACATTCGCGATTTTTTCTCAAGAGGGAAGTCAACATAATTCGATATTAATAAAATTATGCATATAAATTTTACAAATATAAATAATTTGTAAAAATAAAACTATATTTTTTATGTTAAATTATTCTAACTAACATCTGTAATTTTCTTTTTTCTGGAACAATGTATAACCGAATATGTGACTATTCTTGTATAAGAATAATTTATATCCCTAACAGAAATTTATGTTTATAAAAACATTTAATTTTTATATAGAAAGAGATTTAGTTTTTATATAGAGATTTTTTATACTATAATATATAAAAATATTAAATAGACTTTAAAAATATATGTTTATTAAACGGTCGAAATATCTCGTATAAAAACGGTATTTTAAACTGATAGAAAAACCGTTTAACAGACGTTACAAATGTCCGCTATAAATGCACTGAAAAAAAAGATTGGCTGGTGCAGCAAATTAGATGGTAAAATATGGCATAGCATTTTTAATTGGTTGTATCAGTTAATTTTTGGTTGTGTTAGCCTATCGAAATCCTATACTAACATTGCGGATAGGCTAACGCAACCAAAAATTGACTGATACAACCAATTAAAAATGCTATGCCATATTTTACCATCTAATTTGCTGCGGCAGCCAATCTTTTTTTCAGTGTGTAATTATAACGTTCACACATTAAATAGTTTGAAAACGTATCAAATTTTAAAGTTTATTTTTCAGTTTATACATTTATTACATGATTTCGGACATCTATTAAATATATTTTGATCGTAACCATATTATTTCAAAATCTCGTGGATTAGTGCGTCAATCTGATTAAAAGTCACATTCGTGTACACGTGCTCTGCGCATCCTTTGCATCTTCTTGAAGCACGTGATGTTGTATTCGAAATATATCCACATGTGAATTACCTTAAACGGCACGTGTCTTCCAAATGCATCAGGATCGCTCGATCGGGCGTTTTATTCTATCACGAAGTATACACCATTATATCCACATATCCACATCTACGAAGTCATCAAACACATTATCTCATTCCGATAAATGGTTACAATAAATTGCCTTCTCATCGGTGAATCGTCGTGATGATAAATATAACTGGCACGTTGGATAGACGGCGACTAAACCGAGCTCGCTTCCCGATTCCGAGCGATCGGCGAACGCGAATGTGACTTACCTCCATAGGTAGCAGCTGTCAAGGGCTACAAAGGGCACCGAACAATTGGAAAGGAGTGGCCCTCGACAAATAAAACTCACCCTACTGCCTTCTTTCATCCCTGCTGCGGTAACGGCGCCGCTGCGGCCGGCTGTGTCGAGCTCTTCGAGCTGATTAAAGGTAAGTCTCAGACCCCGCGGAGATCCCTTGCTATAGAGGGAAACGTCGCGTCGTCGCAAGAAAACATCATCGTGCATTGAACACAGCGCAGCGAGTGATAGAAAAGTTATTTTAGATTTTTGTTCACGTCACATATTACATCCTCAGTCCACTTTAGATGATTTATAATTCTAGTGTCAGAATTCTATTTATAATTTTGTTTACCATGTATTTTGATATATTTATTTAGTATATTTTATTTATAATATTTTATAATATTATTTATATTTTATAGTATATATAAAAATTAATGTTTTAAAGGGCTACTAGCCAATTGGCTAGTAGCCATTTAAAACACTAATTTTTATTTTTATTACATGAGCCATTCTATATTATGTATTTTATAGTATATGTATTCGGATCTTCTTCACATATTTTCTGTATTATACACTGTTAGAAATGTGACCACTAGCTTCCTTTACATGTAAATGAAGCTCGTGGTTATGAACGAAATTAAAAGTAATGAATGATTTAACTGAAAATTAAGTTACAGTAGTTACTTAAATATAATGAACATGTACATTAAATTTATGAAAAATACATTAAATTACATGTACACAAATATACTTTTCAGTTATAAATACATTAAATTTAATGTAATATCATGAAATTGAGTTTAAAATGTGTAAATTAAAAGTATATTAAATTTCATGAAATTTTTAACAGTGTATGGCATATGAGATTAGAAATAGAATTCTATTTTAAATTTTATACTTATAGATTTATTATTAGTTATACATACATTGTCTATAGGGCGATATTTGGAAGAAGAAAATTGAAGAATACCAGATAATAATGCGTGCGCACGCGTACCCCCTTTATCTAAATAATTTTATAATAAAATATGTTTAATTGTAGTATGAGATAATTGTAATATGAAAGATCCGACAGAATATCTTCCATTTCTTATATGAAATAAAATTGTACTAATCTACAATAACCGCGTAGATAATTTATCAGTTCTAAAAGTCGCGCATGTGTGTGTGTGTGTGTGTGTGTGTGTGTGTGTGTGTATCATAAATTATTTTCGTGGTTAACCACTCTTAAAAAAAAAAAACAAAGACGCAAGCAATGAATGTATCTCGAACAATGGATTGAGACGGTCAAAAATTTAAAGGAGCTTGAAAAGTAACACTTTTTATTTCTATTTAATGAATCTTGTACAAGAATATATAATAATGTATGTATGCTAAGTACATTTATATTTCGATAAGTTGAATATGTGATAAATATTCAATTCGTGTCATTTGGAATGTATTTTTTATTTTACATTTACTTTTGTCTCCGTTTTAATCTACATAGCGAGATTCGCTGAGACGAAAAAGAGGATGGAACTTTTATGTAGTGATCTTTGGTTTTTGCTGTCGAATGTTTCGTTGAGTATTCCATGGAAATAAATCTGTCCTTCGGTTAATATCGTTATAGGTATTGAGTTAAATACTCGTAGGGTTCATAATCTTTACAAATATTGATAAATATCGTCAAGTGATATATCTCTGAACAAATATCGATTTATCATTTTCTAGATAGCTACCAAATCTCATAACTTCACAGAGTTGGCGTTACAGAACTGGTGATCAAAAATCACGTGGCGGTTGAAATGAGATTCGCCACGTTGCGTAAAATCTCGGGTATAATGCATTATTTATTCGCTATGCATGCGCTCCTATATCATTAGTCACCGTGATAATATCGCGTGCCTTGACTACAATTTTCAGTGCCGGGTCAAAGTGTGGGTCAGTCGGACAATTGGGTACCGTCAAGGTGTCACGCAGCAACAAAGAATGATCCTCGTTGAATATCTATGCCCGAATGTTCCAATTCGATTTAACAGAGAAAAATTTGTTATTCGTTGCGATGATATTTATCAAATTTTCTTGCTGATGAAATTTTTTTTTGAATCAGAGATTGCCCTATATTTTTTCTCTTGACGAGGTGTGATGAGATAAGAATAAGTTTATAAAATTGCATTAATTTTTTTGAATTTACATTGTTTTCGTTAATTATCACTAATTGAAAAATCCAAATATATATTTTATACAGATAGTAATGTGTGATTTCTTTGGTGGGATGTAAAAGATGTTTCTGCGTTTTTATCTTATCTCTTTGTTATGGTTTTAAATAGAACGATTCGGAAATTCCGAATACTAACAATGAAATTATAACTAAGGGGAAGTGAGAGTAAATAACTGCGCGGTAATCAATGTGTTATAATTATAAAATATATTTAAAAGTATATTCAAAATTTACTACATATGTGCCGCAATATTCGGACAATATTCCGAATACTTCTTCGAAGAAAAATCGACGCTGAGTCTTTATTGCATTAATAATTTCCGAGCTTCTCTTCGCTTTTCTAGTTTTCTCACCTCCGCGGAGAACCACTGATTCGCGTACTGAATGAACCCATTGTGCGCGGCCTGCTGAAAATTTGAATCCAACAGTGCGCTATTCACGAAATATTTGTGCGCGCGCGCGCGCGCGAAGGCTCTGGCTCTACAAGAGAAAGGGTGATTTTAAGAAATTTACCAAAATGACAAATAGAACGTTCTTCTCCGTTTATCTGCCAGGGAAGCTAGCGGGCCGTAGTTCCTTCAGAATTGGAGTAGAACCACTCGGCGCTGCGATGACATTCAATGAGGGGGACCGTAATCGCGCACATGGTTTCGACGTAACTGGACTCTGCAATAATAAACAACAAAACCCATTTCCGGGCCCTACGAATCGATCGCTATATGTTGAGGAAGATCGATGAGGATATAATAGTGCTATTTCGTTCAATCACGTTGGTCCCATCCCCTTGAATGTGATCCTTTAATCACCTAGGCGTGATTGGGCAATCGTATATACTGGTATCATTATTTTATGAAAAACACGCATCATAAGACAGGAAGTATTTTATCATTGATGATATCGCTTGTCCGACAATTTCCTTGCGGGATACCGCAATAAATTGCAAGGACACGGCGTGTCATCCGTGTATATAAACGATTGTTTTAAATTGCAGATTTTCTGTATATGTGCGATAGAAAGAATTTCGTATTTGAATATAATTGAAAGAGAATATGCAATTAAAGATTGACAGGTTCAGCCACAGTTCAGCCGAGATATAGCCACTCCTTTTGGCAACTTGTATTTATTTCTCTCTAACATTACAATATTGCAATATTGCTATACATAATATGACGTTAAATATCATTGAATTCTTTTTGGCTTGATCATAGCATCGTTTGCTCATTTTTAAACGAAATTCTCGACGATATCCGATGTAACGTATGAGAATTGATCGCGTGCAATGATGATATAAATAATGGAATCTTGTTCCTTTCGCTTTTATATCGCCAGGATAATTACACAAATTTTGTTAGTTTTTCTATTATACTTCTCGCGTAGAATTCTGCCATTCTTTACAACTAGAATTAAGATTAGAAGTTCTAATCTTGGTAATAAACAAAAGTTGAAGCGGCCTTGTCGATCATTACAGTGCCTGTAAATAATTACAGTTTGCGCATCTGTAAATATTTACTGTTATATATTTATAAATCCAGTCTACGATGTTCAACGGCTTTTTATCTTTATATTTCTTCATTTGTTACAGTTCTAATTTAGAATTGTGAAAGAAAAATGAAAAAATATATAGTTCTAAATTATTTATACTATAACATCGACTATAATGATCGACAAGCTATTTTAACTTTCGTCCGTTTGTAGATAGAATGTGTATGTTTTGGTGATATGTCGAACATTTTTTTATATTTGGATCCGTTGCAGGATATTTATTTTATAGTAGTATTCATAGTCCTATATTTTAAGATCGTCTAAGTAATGTCTTGAGATGCTAATATGGCTCTGTTTAAGACATCTTAAGACTGTACTTAAAACAGTCTTAAATATAAGAATTGACTATAAATACTTGCCTTAATCCTGTATTACGTTTATTTTAATTATTTATATTACATTTTAATTATTTTTAATATATCATCTATGGAACACGAGCTTAATACTTCGCTACGGTGTTTCTTTAAGTACCATGTGTAATAAAATGATGTATGTATGTATCAGTGAATAAAACATGTATAGAATATTCTTATTATAAAAATAAAAAATGTGCTACGAAAGATATAAAAATATAAAAATTGTAGAAGGAATTAGAGAATTAGCGAAGTTAAAAGCTAGAGAAGATAAACAATTATAAATCGAAATTAGACCGACAAAAATAAATCAATTCATAAAAATAATCCTACTTTCGGCCAAAGCGGATCTTAGTGCATAATAATACTAAATGCAAATTTCTGCAAATATATTATTTCAGTTTTATAAAGATATGCATCTTAATTGCGCTCGAAGCGATGTTTTAATCGACGTAGAAATCATCCTCTTTACAACTACTAATGGCCTCTCCATTTATGGCACTAATAATAATCTCATCGCTTTTCGCAATATTAATCAGAATAAGTTGCGAATGCCAAATGTATATATGTGTATGCAATATGTAAATACGTGTATCCATTTCCTACAAATCAAGGTAAAATTCACGGCTATTGCACAAGTATAAAGCACCGATCTTACCAAGACCTATATCTCGCAATAAAATGCAGTAATGAGACATATATACTGGAAAGAGATCTTGGAGTCTATGAAGCAAAAGTGTGGACAGATTTGTATCAAACGTAATAGGGAAGAGAAGATCCACTGGTTATGGGTACGTATCGTACTTTGCAGATGAAATTCGATCAGAAGATAAGTGACTTCCTAACTGATTGCGATGAATTTTAAGCAGAACACTGTCTGTACAACTGCGATTTCTTCTCGATCTCAGCCATGTTTCTTTCCATCTCCCCCATCAGCATGTCTACGTCGCTCATCAGTTCCTTCAGCAGTCGTTCATTTTCCTTATAAACGCTCTCCATGCCGTCCAGATCCTTGGACTTGGTCGACGTGTCTGCTGTTAGCTCGGAAGCACGCGTTAAGAGTCTCTTCGCCCGCTGAATATCGCCTTTGGTTTTATTGACTCGCTGATTCAATGACTCATCCGCCCTCTTGTACTCCTCCGACAGTTTTTTCGTCTTGCCATCGATTGCTTGTGCCTCATCGGCGACTTTCTTTGCTTCTGTGCCGATCTCCGTTAGAATGAAACTGTTCTTTGCAGATTGCGTCTGAAGCTGCTTCAAACGGGCATCTAATGCTTCCACCGTTTGTGTGGTGCTGTTAGCTTGGATCTGAGCGGCCTTTGTTACGTCGGCAATGTCCGCGAGATCTTTCTGCGATTTGGACACGTCAGCTTCCGCCTTATCGATCGCGTCCTGTGCCAGATGTTGCGCCTTTTGTGCGTCGTTCAACAGCAAAATCATTTTGTTCGCCAAGACTTGCTTCTCGATGGCTGTCAATTTAATTTGATTAGCGCGTTCCTCGAGGTCATGCGCCAATTGTAGATCGTCCTTGGTATCGGCGAGAATCTTCTCGGAGTCAGTAAGAGAGCCCACCATATCCTCGATGCGATCGGCCAACTGTGCGATTTGATCCGGCTCCAGCTGGATATTCCTCGCGAGTATTGCGTACGCAAGAGCTCTTACCATAGCTGGTGTAGGTTGGTCCTCATCTTGAGTACTCAACATTTGCTTGATCATGTTTGCCATATTCTTGGCGAGCTTTTCAAAGAAGCTCTGCGCCTCCGATGCGATGTTAAAAGCGTCTTGAGCGTTCGATCTTGCCGCTGTTGCATCTTGCTTGATTTGGCTCATCTGAGAATACAGATTAATCGAATAAGTTGCAAATTGTTATAGAATCAATGAATAAGATAGAACAAAGAAGTTTTATAAAATTCTATAAGCATCCCTGACGAAAAAGTTTTACGAAAAACTACATAGATTAAGACAAGATCTTAGAAATTATTACTTTTTCATTGATATTCGTAGTGGGACGTAGAGCAACGTTGTTTCTTTGAGAAACCTAAAAATTCTTCGCCCTCACACAACGCCACTCTACATCTCACTACGAATATCTATGAAAAACTAAGAATCTCTAAGACAAACAAACCTTACTCTACGTCCCACTACGAATATATCTACGAAAAATTAAAAATTTCTAAGATTTTGTCTCAATCTATGTAGTTTTTCTGTACTTTTTTGTAAAAATTTTTTTTCCGTTAGGTATTTATAATAATATAAATTTGTTTTATACATATATATATAATAAATAATTCATTTTTATAAATTGTAAATATAATTTTTAAAAACTAGATTAGTGATAATTACATTACGTAATAGTTGTTCAGCATCGTCCTTATGACTCTTGATTTTGGCAGCTTGTTGTTTGGCAACGTCTAAAGCTTGATTGGCTTTGCTGACTGCGCCTACGTCACAAGATAATCCTCCACAAGTGCCACAGCCCGCACCGCCGCAGACGCTGCTACACTCCGTTACATTGTCACCACACATGCGTAGATTTAGCTCAGGTACTGCCATACGGAACGTCTTCAGTTTCTCATTCAACTTCGTCAATGACTCCTTGTTCCTTTCTTGAGCCTCGTCCACGGATGCACGATTCTTCGCTAGGAGGTTCTCAGTATGCTTGCGGAATCGTTCTGCATCGCCCAGGACATTCGTAGAGTCGTTTGCCATTTTCTCGGCTTGTCTGGATTGTTCTGCCATCTGCTGAGTTACGTTGAGAGCACCTAAAACATTCTCTTCCTGTAACCTGGTGGCATTCTCCCGCAAATCGGCGGCGGCCTCATGCAGATTGTTAGTCCTGTTCTTCAATCTCTTCAACGCAACGTCACCAAGATTAACTCGTTGACTGAGATTCTCCAAATGATTATTTGCTTCGTCCAACTGCTTGATCGATTCGGAGATATTCTTGACCAACTCCTCGGCCAAGTCATCGAACGCGTCCAGATCTTGGCTCCGAATGGTAGTGTTGCTAATTAAGTCCTGTACTTCATTTAGGGACTCCTCCATGTCGTCGAATTCCTGGCTGTAAACACCGGTCGTACCGACTTTCTGTATCCTCGAGGCCTCTTGAATGACCGCGTTTGTCTTATTCCTAAGACCGTCCAATATCAGATCCCAATTGTCGAAGCATTCGCCGCATGGGCTGCACTGTGGAGCCTCGCCGTGATAGCCACGGTCGCATTGATCGCACTTCTCACCGCCGATACCCTTATGGCAAACGCATACTCCGGTCTCTCTATCGCATTGCTGGCTGGCGGAACCGATCACGTCACATTCGCATGGATAACACTCAACGTTCGGGTTGCCCCAGAAGTTTGTTTGACACTCGTTGCACCGCCTGCCGCCGAATCCTGGTTTGCACTCGCAAGTGCCGTCGTAGGGATTGCATCTACACACAGAAATATTTTAATTAGTCGTTTTACTTAATCCTTTCTTGAATTAATGTGCTGTAATCGACGTTTAAAATTCTCAAATTGTCTTTTTTAATCTTCAGCCTGAGAATATTAAAAATTTAAAAATTACATTTTGATTAATTTTCTACTATAAAAAAAATCAGACCACTATTGGTATTAAATCATTCAATTCAATATACCAACAAGATCTATCAATGATTTTATATTCATAAAAAATATGTTTGCAATAAGAAATCGCAGTTTTTTATTTTTACAAGAATCGCAGACGAACCTGTCTGAAATACTTCCAACTACGTCGCACTCGCAAGGATCGCAACCTTGTCCGCTGGCTATTCTCCAATGATTTTCCTCGCAGGAGTCGCAAAGCTGTCCTATAACGTGAGACAGACACGGACATTGTCCGGTACGATGGTCGCACGATCCCGCGGTCTTGTCAGTGCCCAGGACGTTACATCGACAGTCTTGACAATCCTGCCGTAGAGCGTTTCCGTAGAATCCTGCTTTGCACACCTCGCAAGTGTAACCATCAGTGTTGAAGAGACATTGGAGACAATGACCGGTGTGCGGATCGCAGTTACCGACACGACGTAAATCTGTGTTATTGTTGCAATTGCAGAATTGACAGTTACCGCCTGGTATCTCCGGGTTGCCGAAATAATTCTCGGCGCAATGCTCGCAGCGGGGTCCGGAGTATCCCTCGAAACACTCGCACACTACATCCTGCGTTATTGAGTCTAATGAACAGCTGTTGGCGTAGGAATGACCGGATTCACGTGTGCCTGTTAAAATAAAATATAATGTTGATAATAAATAAATAAATAAAATAATAGCTTAACAAAAGGAACTTATTCCTCACTTCAATAAAAAACGCAAATAAATAACTAATTGTAATCAGATATAATAATCCACAATTTCCAATATGTATATGTGTGTGTATGTTATTATTATGTTACTAGTATTTGAATTATAAAAAACTGAATTTTATATTGTAAAAAAAGAATATAATTGCAGATATAATTACAAATGTGAGAAATATGATTTATTTTTGGCAGGATATAAATATCTCTCTGATAAGACTAATATTTTAATTTTAGATTTAAAAAAACATAAAATGCTGATTAAAATGTAAAATCTCTTCTGAAATATATATATTCACCTGGACAAGGACACGCTCTGCAAGGTATATCTACGCCAATTCGCGGATCGCCATAAAAATCGTCAACGCAACGGTCGCAATTGTGCCCGGTGGTGAAATCTCGACAGTTGATGCAGGCCCCGGTCTTTGAGTCGCAGCTGTCCGCGTGTCCGTGACACTCACAGCGTTGGCAATGAGGGAAGTTCCAGAAGCCAGGCTCACATTGGCCGCAAGTCCTGCCGTAGGTGTTGGGGCGACACTTGCAGCGTCCGGTCTCGACATCACAGAAATTGTCGAGTGCACCGACGCCGTCGCAATCGCAGGAAATGCATCCCTCCGGACCGAATCCGTAGGTTCCCGGCGCGCAACGATCACAACGTCTACCAACTACGTTTGGCTTGCACGGGCACATCCCGCCGTAGTTCTTGCACAAAAGACTGCGAGAACCCGTTGGGTTACATTCGCAAGCTAGAATTCATATCGTGCTCTTGTGAGTGTGTAATTAAACGAGAAAGATGAAACGATATAAAATTAAAGCATGACATTAAGGAGTAAACAACATCGAATAGTTAAACTTACAATGAGCGCCATCGAAGACGTAATAGCCGATACTATTTTGATACTTCCTGCAGATGTCGGGTACGTTATTCCACACGCTGTTGACATCGTTATATATTTCATTACAGTGGTAACGTTCGTATTCTTGGCGACGCAGTTCACCCAGACCCGGCGCTTTGAAGAAGGGTATCACGTCTATCCTTGGCTTCAGAATAATCTGCAAAGATCATACAAGCACACACGAGTAAGTATAAATTACAATCAACTGGGTATGACTTTTTCTGACAATTGACGACATAATTGAAATTGAAACAAAATATTATATATTACCGAATCAACTAGGATGGAGGCCAAAGGCGTGTCCACGTGGCTGTTGAATTTGTGGAATTGCAGCAGAAGATTATAACGTTTTCCTGCTTCTAAACATACAGACGGTTGTGCCACGGCACTTCTCGAACGCAGAGGTAACTGAACCCACAGGCGGTCGTATTCAGGTTTCCAATCGGCACACGGCCCATTAGGATCAGGTAAGCTATCTCTCTCGAGAATAACCTGCACGTCCTCCCAGACTCCCGGATGCACCGGTTCGTAGCGTACAATCACATCGTACCACATCGATCTGCGAATGTCGTCGATGGTGAAGTTCAGTACCGAACCCTCGAGAGCCTTCATGAAACCCGTACCGGTCCACGTGCTGTTCCTACCATCGCGATAAGGCTCTCTGATTACCACTTGACAATTCTGAAAACGAATTTGCGATTCAATTCTAAAATAATCTGAAAAATCTGAGCAATATATAATTAACACTTTGCAAAATTTTAAATGTGTATATAACATTAAAGAAAGAAATAACTCTTTCTTCTCGTTATGTCTTTCGTTTTGCGTATTTTATATTTTATCACGTTTGCAGCATTGGAATAAAAATTAATAAATATATTTAATTTACATATTTGATTCAATTTGATAAACTTACGTCGGTAGCCCTAGACAACTCTCCTTCGTAAATGAGAAAATCTAGCGAGCCGGTGTAATAACTTTGCTCCGGCTGATTGCAAGTTCTCCCGCTGACGTGCGGTCTGCATCTGCACTGACCGGTGATGACGTCACAGGAATTCTCGTAGGATCCGCCAGAATCGCAATCGCATGGTTTGCATCCATCGCGATCCTCGGAGAGTCCCCAATATTCAGGTAAACATTGATTGCAGTCGCGCGCTGTGACATACCGTTTGCACGTGCACTCACCAGTCACCACGTTGCAACCCTGATTATCGATGGTACCCAAGATATTACAGGTGCAGGCTATAATTATAAAAGTAGTTTTTTTATACGAGTTTTGAGAAGCTATGATCAAACTTACTTTATCGGGACAAATAGAATCTGTTAAAATTTCAAACTAACTTACGTTATCATTGACATAACATTAATTAATATTTCTCGGAGGGAAAGATTATAAATTAAGTTTGAAAAAAATCAATACAGACTAATAAATAATATATAAACTCTCTCTCTTTTTTTTCTTACTATTAAAAACATAATAAATATTTATTTATTTAAATATTATGTAAAAGTATTGAAATGGTCTTTTAATGAAATATGCTGGACAGTAATAACTTCTTTCGTTACCTTGGCATGCCTCTGGATTGTCGGGATCGTAGTTCCAGAAGCCGTTTTTACAGCGGTCACAACGACGCCCGTCAGCATTCGCTTTACAGTGACAGCGTCCAGACTCGTCGCCACTTAAAGGATCAGTCCTTGAGTCGCATATGCCATCATCCAAGGATCCGCCTAGGTCACAATCGCAGGCTGCGAAGAAGAAAACCTATATGTATTTCACGATGTTTCTCTCACATATGTACAAATTTATTCTGTTATTAACTGCAATCTGCAATCTATATTTATCTTTTATTTATAAAACAAGCACAGATAATAATTTTGTATTGAATTATATTAAATTATATATAAAAATCATATATAAAGAGACATTCACAGATTGAAAACTTACGTTGACAAGCTTCTGGATCAGAGATATCCTTCGTCACGTCGTGATAATAGAATGGCTTGCACTGTTCGCAATTCTGTCCTCGCGTATTGTGCTGGCAATCGTCGCAGACTCCGCCGGACACTCTGCCCGATCTCTCGTAGACCGTTTCGTCGAAGTGACAAGAATTGGTATGATTGTTGCAATTGCAAGGCCTACAAGCGTTCGTTTGTTTGCCGACCGCGGGCTTCCACGGCAGATCGTTGTAGAAGTCTTCGCAACTCTCACAGTTGAGGCCTTTAGTATTGTGTGTACACTCACATCTGCCGTGGACCATGTTCTCTTCATCAGAGACTCCTGGTAACGGTAAACATCTAGAGGCGTGTCCATAACAAGAACACGAACCACGAATCACCATATCTTGGATGGCGTAATAATATTTCTCGCGAATCTCAGCCCGATCATCGAGCAAATCATCACCCAGAGTATGGAGTCTAGTCATGATGATTCTGAGATTGGTGATCTTCAGTAGATTCTGCACTTCCTTCGAATAAGGATTATCTATTTCCAAATTTCGCGGCAACACCCTAAAATATATCAGTATAAATATGAATAACGTTTTCAAATAACGTGGTTAAGAATTAACAATTCATAATTAATAATTATAATAATTTGAATCCTGTAACTAGTGCAGTTTCTTTACATAAGAAAATTGAAATAAAAGCAAAACATTTGCACATCAATGTAATAAAATTTAAAACAAAAATAAACAATATATTAAATAATGAAAAAGAAGATTAATGGTAAATAATACGATTAAATTATGTCCATACCTGAAAATTACGTCACCGCCAGTGGACGGTGCCACAGCCGAGTATCTCGTCTCGCAAATGACATCCGTTAATCTTTGTGGTTGATGGGTCGGGATGTCGGGGAAGTAATGTTCGCAGTTATGAGCAAAGTACCGATACACCTGCCAGGTTTTTCCAAAATCGTACGACCGTTCGATCAGCATAGCAGCCGGTCGGAAGGTTTGGAAGCGAATAATGATGTGCGTGAAGTGAAACTCTGCCTCAAGATCGAAACGTATTGTGACATTTTCCACTCCATTTTCGGCCTGCCACCATGACCTGAAATTTATAATTTTCGAATTATTTAATATACGTTATTTAATATACGTTAGATTACTCTTATTTATTTTTAATAACGCATATTTCTACTCATCGTTATTTTAAATGCCATTGGATTTAAATAATAAACTAGATTAAACAAGATTTGAACAATATAACGAAAGGTTCCAAGAATAGATCAAAATAAAATGAAGGAAAGATAAATTAACGAGAGCCAACACGGATGTCGGTGTTTAATGATAACAACATATTTAGTTCATTACTCACAGTAAATTGCATACATTGGCTTTATTTCGCAATATGAAAGATTGCGGTGATAAAGTAAAATAATCTTACCCGCTGACGATGTTCTCGATATTATGCTGTTGTTTAGGTATCGATGCATCGCAGAAAAAGCATTTCTTTCTGTCCTTAAGATGAGAAACAATGCAAAATCTTTCAGGACCATGAAGACCGCATGTCGACGAAGCAGTCAGTTTGTCCTTACGGCCAATTAGCAAATTCCCGGTTGCGGGATAACATGAGCTCTGTTCGCAGGGATGCGGTCTTTTTGCGTACGATCCTATATGGAATAAAGTTTTTCGTTAATCTTTTGTAACTCGAAATGCAGATTTTGTTTTTGTGTAGTTATTCTTTCTTCTGTAATTAGGATACCATTGCATAATATCATGCCGATTATACGAGTTAAATATATGGAGGAAGATACAGTTTCCCGATTACCAATTAGTTTTTGTGATCGATTAGCATTGTGTACCTTTACCACATTATGGGAGTCATGGGAAGAACCAAAATATACAGTCACATTGTCACATAAACATACATCTGCATTGAGAGAAAAATGTTTGATATTTATGACTATAATTACATGGCAAAATTATGGAGTTTTATTTTTATAGTTATATATTACTGTTATTATATTGTATTTACTGTTATTATATTGTATTACTGTTATTATATGTATTTATAATTTTACTAAAAAATATATAGTTGGCATTAAAAGTGTGACTGTACATAAACTTATAATTAAATTATGCAATCATTTTTCTTTCAGTGTAGTAAATATAATTAAACATGGACATCCAAACTGATAAAATAAAAATTAACTACAACAAACACGAACTCTCTTTCGCTGTTAGCTAACATATAAACTATTATCCAAGTTAGAATAAATTCTCTCTAGTTAAATTTGTCAGGGGATCTTTTTATGACAAAATATAGAGTTGCCTTCTTCCCGAAGTAACATATTTTGTCTACCTCTTGACGTGGGCATGGTCGGCCCTAGCCAATTATGATGCTCTGTCACCACATCCATAGGTGACATATCTCCTCTCTGCACCGATCCTATAACACCCCCATTTTTGTCTTTGTATTTTGTGCATAATTATATAGTGTGTGTCCTAGTTGTCGCGAAAGTTTTATCGCGTTTTTCACCACTTGACATTCTCTGATAAGACCATTGATAATGCTACGTGCTACAACGACTGTTTCGTGATTCTTTCGTGAAGAAAAGGGTGAATAAAAAAATGAATTCTAAGAAGATATTTTGAATCTTACCTCTGGATGGTACTTTGTCCCGTACATGTTGTGAACTCGTAGGTCCTATAAAGAATTAAAACGTTTATGTAATATATGTGGTGATATATTAAATGCGTGTTTTCTTTCTCTCCAAGGAATAAATGATACAAATAAATAAAAGAATAAATGACACAAAAAATAATTTTTCATTCAAAAATGAATTACGTAAAACGTAGCTCTGCTCGGCTTCGCCGATTTTTTTTAAACGCGCGGCCGCGTAGTTAATAAATACCGCCCACATTAATAGTGGGCACGTCAAATATCATTATTAACATCTATTAATATAAATATAGGACAATTTTATCCCAGAATTGTTTCAAATGTACGCTAGAATGTACCGGTTATCAAGAGATGTTCTACTACCGGTAGAGGCTATCGCAAGAGACAACCGGATGTTTATGAGCGAAGACAACTCTGCAAAATATACTTAAATTTCAATAAAATACGGAGTATTTCAAATAGATCTTTCACTCAACTCGATTTAGCAAAAATGTCAGATCAGTTTTCTCTGTAAGATTTTGTAATTTTTCCTATATTAAGTATCTTTGATCTAATTTCTCGAGTTACATATCTTTTGATCGATTGCAAATCGACTTTATAAAAATATTTATAAATTAAAAAAATAATTTATACTGAGACATCTGCAGTGTATCTTTACTGCAACGGTACCGTCACGTGCATAAATTATAAACAATTATGCGCAACTTGATCCGTGCTATTCGTTGAATAATCTTCTTTGATAATTTCGTGCGAAGATCTCTGTTTGTAGGGCGGTTGGATTTTAGAAGTCAAAACGAGTTCTCCGATTTCAAAAGGAAGGCAGGTCGCGAGGTCATGTCGCTATCTAATCATAATGGATAAACAATCTTTTCGTATATGAATGGGATGAACGATGTTTCCGAGAAAAAGAATTTTATTAAATTTGGTTCTTTCGCACGTAATATACGCAACGTAAAAATGGTATTAAAATAGATAGTGAAAATGCGAGCGAGTTCAAACGATACCGAAAAATTTTAATTTATATAAGTATTTTTTAATTTAAAAGAGTATTTAATTTATAAAAGAGAGAGAGAGAGAGGAGAGAGTATTAATTCTGAAAATATTAATTTTTATGTTGGATCTCTCAAGCATTTCCATTTTTAAATTTAATTACTTTGTAAAAAATTAGCTTTAATAAAGATTAATATATCGAATTACATACCTGCTAAAGTAATAATTACAATAATTAAAGCTGCGGGAGCCACGTGTCCGTAATGAAGCATTTTTTTAATTTATAAAAGGAAAGTATTAATTCTGAGAATATTAATTTTTATGTTGAATCTCTCAAGCACTTCCACTTTAAAATTTAATTATTCTATAAAAAATTAGTTCTAATAGAGATTAATATATCGATTATTACATACCTGCTAAAGTAATAATTACAATAATTAAAGCTGCGAGAGCCACGTGCCCATAATGAAGCATTTTTCCGTTTCTTTTTTCTACCTTTGTGGATTTTTTGCAACGATGCTAAGCCATCGACGATTATTCGAAAATTTCTACAATAAAATATTTCCAAAATATTGTAAATCATTGATATATCGCGGAAAATTTATAGTTGGCTACATAATTTATTTTATTCAAACAAGATGAAAAATGATTATGTTTATAATCATTATAATTAAATTATAATATACACGACAAAATATTATTAATAATATCAGCATAATTTATAAATTAATTTTACTTTATATATATATTATATAAATTTATAAACACTATATTATTAATTTTAAAACCGCACTCAATAAAATAAATAATCATAACAAGCATTTAACGATTTTTAATTTTGAAAATTATTTGACAATCGAAGCAAAAGCATAAAAATACATAAGACGTTATAATATATTAGTAAATTATTTCTTTTAAATAACTCTTCATATGAAATCTTGAATCATTTTTTGATTAGACTCACAGAACGACGCGAAACACACTTTCGCTCACTGCAGGACGAAAAAGTGATTTCCGTTGTAATTAACGTTGCCAATACCGTCCTCCGTCTAATAAAGTTCAGCTACGTTAGCGTATATGCTAAAATAGCGTTTCCCGCAGTGTACACCGTTGGGATATTTCTTCTTTCCCTCGAGAGACGATAGCCGCCGCTCTCCTCCTCGGTACGAACGTCGAGATCTCGCTGAGCACCGAGATCGGAATTCCTTTCCTGTCCGAATCCCTCGGTTTCTCCTCGTGGCCACCAAGTTCCGAGTCTGTTATCCACGTGCGATAACGACACGGCGGAACCGTCTGACAGGTGCGAGAGCACCGTCGCAAAACGCGGCGGGCGACGGAAAATGAAAAACGCGGCCTCACGGACGCGCCTCGTGACGCCGTCTCTCACAAGTGAGTCCCTCGGCTTGTGGAGTCGAGTCACGACTTCGTTCCGAACCTCCGAGTCTCGTGCCCGTCAGTGCCGTACATCACGGGTGGCAACAAAACGGAGAGGGAAAACGATTTGGATTTGTAAAGCGACGAGTGGGACCGAATGGCCAGCGGTAAGGGCCGCAGACGAGACACGAGAGAAGAAAGAGACTTTGCGAGAGGAGTACGATCCTCGAAAAATATGGGAAAAGGTTCAAGCGCAGGTCATTGAAATTCCAGTGTAAACATAGGTTTTCAGCTTATTGAGAAATAGGTCATAGTAAACATATATAATATGTAACATCGACAATGTCCAAGTTACATATATAATATATTTATATTTATGTCGCAATCAAAGTACTAACTCAGTAAATGCATACACTTACTGTAGTCTACTATATAATCAATGTATACATTTATTATACACGTAAAAATGTATACGTTGACTAGTAAGTGTACACATTTACTAAAGTTAATACTTTGTGATATATATAAATAAATAGTATTATATATATAAATTCAAGTTTTTAGTGTTTTTTTAATATATAAATTCAAAGTTCAATTTATATATAAATACACTGAAAATACGGTTTTGGGGCATTAAATAAAATTAAATACAAATCTGAAAATAACTTTGTTGGACCATCAAAATAATTATGTACCTATATAGAACGTTCAAATTGGGTTGCTAGAATGTCAACATTTTTTGCAACATTATCATCATGGTTAAGCATCATAAATAATTATTCTGCTACTCCAGTAAAATTATTTTCAGATCTGTGTATCTAGTTAAATTTTTAAGTTAAATTTTACTTGAGCAAAACTGTTCTTTTTTCGTGTAGTTATTAATTAAGATAATTATATTAATAGGTTCCTTTGATGGTTATCGTCTACTGAGAAGGTAGCGAAGAATACAAACATTCTAATTATACAGCGTAAATCATAGGTCTTCTTCTATCACGGGTCAATGTTCTGTCGCCTGATATCGCTTTTTTTGTTCATACTACACGTAATATTGCGGAAAGCCTTTATCGTACAGATTGAGAATTTCAAATCGTCTGCACCCCAATTTGTCTAGACCCCTTGTGGTATCAATATATGATACTTTCGTACACCCGTTACATGCTGCTTATATTATTGCGGCACACATGTGCAGTATACTCACTATTCCTGTCATATTTTAAAATCTGTTGTTCAAGGGATATACGGAATCTCTGCAGATGTATTGTAAACGACATCTGATACAATAATGCCTTCTATTAAATCAATCTATAGATATTATAGAAATTTATTTCTTCAATTTAGTTTCATCCCTTGGTCGGATATAAAAAGTTACTATTCTTGATTTTATACTCAATAAAGAAACATTATACCCCGAATAATTCTCAAACTTTGTAAAGTATATCTAATATGCTCTCTTTAGGGACAGTCTTTTTAATAATAAGTTAAAAATAAAAAGAAAAATGTAAATCTTTATATTAAAGACACACATATTTATAAAAAATCATATTTAAAATTAAATCTGTATTCAACATTTGAAAGAATACTCATGTATACTCGGGAAAAATTAAGATGGAATTTAAATGTCCCAACAGAAAGAAAAATTTTGCTGCTATGTTTAAAAATTAGCTGGATACAAATCTGAAAACAATTTTGTTCAACTATTACAATGATTATGTAAGGCGTTCAAGCTGGTTGCTATAATATCAAAATTTTTTGCGATCTTGCTATTATATTCAAATTTCCTACATAATTATTTTGATGGTCTAATAAAATTATTTTCAGATCTGTATCTACTTAAATTTTTAGATAATTCAGCAGAATCGTTTTTCCTGTGCATACATTTGTCGTTACTTTCGAGAAGCAGATAGCAAATGAATTATTTCATCAAGTATATATATATATATATATAATTAAACTTCAGTAATCCAATACTTCGGCCTGCTCCACGCAGTGCTCTCGATTCCCACCAATCTTCGATGACGTGTATCTTCTCGCGTGATAAAAGAGGATGGAAAGCGAACCATCCTGGAAAGGCGAAACGAGGAAGAGAAGGCAATGGCATCCTGCTATCGTAGCTGGGCTACGTTGTACAGATAAGGCGGCCCACGCTACGCTTCCTTCCTCTGCGATGATCCCACTTTCCGTTTCCCCGCCGCGCAAATGTACTGATTCGTTGTCTCGGACTGTGTTCGCGACAACGGACAATTTTGTTTCTCGTCCGATAGAATTATTTTCTCATAATTACATATACGTAACTAATAGCATAGTGCGACTATTAATATAGCACAAAGTCGCATAAAAAACGCACAAATTAATTAAAAGATCCATTTATATGAATCTCTAAATATTGAAAACATACAGTTTTATTTTGTGGTTTATTTTGCTGAAAATTCCATCTATATACCATAAACAATGATACTAATTCGACAGAACGATTTTTATAATGTAAATCACTAGAAACGTACTTTAAAAAAAATGTATATACAGGGTGTATCTAAAATAACGTACACTAATCATACAGTGCTATTCCTAATAAAAAACTGAGTCGAAAAGTTCTTTACCATTTTGCAATTTTCGCAATAGTTAACAAGATGTTAATTACTAAAAATCGCTGTGAATATTGGTTTTCAATAATTTTTTACTCAAATACTATCAACTTTACAAAAAAATTGCTAGAGACAAAAATTATTTATTTTCTTCTCATAAAGTTATGAGAATTTTTTCAGAATTTTTTCAGAATTTTTTAATACTGTATTTTCTCATGTTGATAAAAATAAGAAAATACAATACTAAAAAGTTGATAAAAAATTCTGAAAAAATTCTTAGAGTTTTATGAGAAGAAAATTAATGATTTTTGTCTGTTGCGGTTTTTCTGTAAAGTTGATAGTATTTGAGTAAAAAATTATTGAAAACTAATATTCAGCGATTTTTAGTAATTAATATCTTGTTAATTATTACGAAAATTGCAAAATGAGGACTTTTCGACTCAGTTTTTTATTAGGAATAGCACTGTATGATTAGTGTACGTTATTTTAGATACACCCTGTATATGTGAATTTAGACTTTTTTTCAAATTTGGTTTTGTGATTGTAAAATCAATATAAGGCAATTATTATGTATAATTTATATATTTTAATATTTATAATAAAAATATATAGTAACCTTTTTTATGTCGTTAACATCATATGCAATGTATACATTTGATTCTCAACGTAAACTATAAATAATTTTTGCATAACTGAGATGAGTATTTATTATAAAATTTTTTTGTCGTCCCATATTATTTACGAAATTTATCATGATTTTTTATTGAAATCATGTATCAATATGTTGACACAAAGCAGTGAAATGAGGACAGAATGTTATTTTATAACACTTCACATCACTAGGGCGCTAACCTTCATCCGTTTGTTCAGTGCGTGGGTGCTACGATCCTGTGGTCGTACTGGTGGGGGTTGAAAGTAGGCGGAGAATAAAAGTACAAGTCAACAGATTCCCTTCTTACTGACGATGACTGTATTTCATAGTCTTGTTTAGTACTAATAGAGGGCATATATAGCTACTGATTCTTGTATCAATCACTAGCTTCGATATCTGGAGACACGGTAGTGTCTCGGTGCTAAGCCAAGCGCAGCGACACTGCCGTGCCTTCTTGAAATAGATAATAGTAACTAATTACACACAAAAGTTAAGAACAATATAATTTTGAAAAAATTGATTTTTGATATTTTATTTTTTAATTTTACTTTTTAATTTTTGATACTCTATTTTTTAATAAAAGTTTAATTCTTTATTATAGAATGCATAGGTGTGATTTTCATAAATACCTATATAATTTTCATACTTTTAATAATATCAGGTTTAGAAGTTTATTTTATATGCTAAACAATAAAAAATTAATAATGTAATTTACAAGGTGTAAATAAATAAATGTTAAATATTCTACGAAGTATTTCTATCAACCACATTAAAAAATGCATATAAACATGAGTTTAGAAATGCTTAATTTTTGAAGTTGATTTTGAACAGATACTTTTTGATATATTTATTATCAATTAAGTTAATTGGAGCTTGTTTAAAGTTTAATAAACTGATTGACAATGATTGTCAGCGAGGAAACATTATAATAGTACTTTATTAGATATATTTTTAATGGTACAATTGTATAATACAGACTTATGTCAAGAAACATTCATTGTTACTTATAATAAAAATTGGTAACACAAAGTTCAATGGAGATTCTGTAATATTTATAAATTATGAATCGAGATATTGTTTCGAACGAGAAATACAATGTAAGCTTATCATAAATGACCGATAATATCTACATATGAATTTTCTATTATGTTTTTGAATGATGAGTTTTTATGTAATAATAAAGCGATGTATGATGCCGAATAAATACATTGCGATTTTCTAAATTTAATAGAATCAATATGCCTTACTGTACATCATTGATCATTATGTCCTATTCAGATAAAATCTTTTACTTATTCTCGGGAAAGTTTTATAAGTTTCATTTATAAATAAGAACATATCATATCTTTCCTGGAAAATAAAATTCACGACGATTCATTAGTTATAATTCAAATGTTTAATCATTTTGTACTTTTTCTAGAAATAATTAGCATCTAATTTACATCTTATCAAAGGTTTTAAAGTCATTAATTATAAATGTGTAATTAAAATTTTAACATTTAAAATTGTGGATCCAATATGGCGAGCCAAAATATAAAATTTTCTTGAATTTGAACGAAATTTATATTCTAGAGGTGCGTTCGGAGAGACACTATTCGCGCTATTTAGCACTACAAACTGTTCGCGGAGATAGCGCTAACAAACACGATCATGAATGGTAGCGTGTTACATCACAACTGCGCGCTATCAACGCTATTCCTTCCGAGGTAGTGTATTGATAGCGTTAGCGTTTGCAAGCTCTGTGAACAGCACTGCTGTATTGTCGCACATAGGTCGAATGTTTCAACAATCGTTATAGATTATATATGTTCCTAAGTTGCCCATAGATTCCATGTACATTAAAATTTAGGCTGTGTTCCATAAAGTGGCGTCTACAATAAGATTTTAAAGCGTAAAATTTAAGCTTTAAACCTTAAGCCATAAGAAATTGATTAATCACGATCGAATGTGAGAAGAACATTCGATTATTGATGGTTCAATTTTTTACGGCTTAATTTTAAATTTTATATCATAAAATCTCATTGTAGACGCCGCTTTATTCACTGCGAGTACTATAGACTTATTACGTAAGTCTACTCTACGAAATTGTAAAGAGAGAAAAGTTTAGTCGGTGCCATCGGTTCTTTGGAACAGAATCCTCTACATTAAACGCTATCAACGCTCGCTAGGGTCGTTCATGGAGTTTACTAACGCTATCGCGCTATTGGCTCCACGAACAGCGTTGGTAGAGTTTTCGTCCATAACGCGAATAGTGTCTCCCCGAACGCACCCTCGGAGTTTTCCGTTTTTGAAATTGTCGATTTGAAATCAGTTGTTTCTATTTTCTGTATAAGTATTTCACATCAATTGATTTCACGGCTATTTTTCGCTGTTACGCGATACTTAATTTAGCATTTTGCTCCACTATATTGAATCTGCTATTTTGAAATTAAATAGCGATTTTTTTATGTAACTTTTACGTTGATCGGTAATTATGCATATTAACAGACATCGCGCCGATGACCTTAACCTTGACATATAGGGTGGTCCATTTGAAGCTTCGGCACTGAATATCTCGAAAACTACGCATCGGATCAAAAAAAGTGGATAATGAAAGTTGTTCGTCTCGAAGGGGGACATCCAATGATACCAAACTCGACCCTTCACCCCCACCCCCGGGGGGGTCAGGAGGGGGAAAATAAACATCTTAATGAAAACCCCTATTTTTTATTGCATATTTGGATCTGCAGAAAAAATTACATTGATTTGACCTACGCATAGTTTTCAAGATATTCAGTGCCGAAGCTTCAAATGGACCACCTTGTATGTTAACTTCATGATTCTGAGTAATTTTACCTCAACAACTAGGTGGCGGTCTCTTATATATTTCTGAGATATTTAGACTTAAAAGTCTAATTTATATGGTATATCTTTCCGACTCTCACCATCCCCCCCCTACTTAGGGGCGCGCGACTTCTATGATTATGCTGTTACACGTAGGTTTCGACTTTTCACGCGAGGCTACTTTCATCCCCCCCCCCCTTGCAAAGAGGCGCACGACTCTTACCCCCCCTTTACCCCCTGCAAAGGGGCTGAGAGTCGCTTCGCGTGGAAGCCGGGCGCTCCTAAGCAGGGGGGGAGATGGGGTAGGAGTCGCTTCGCGTGGAAGCCGGGCGCCCCTAAGCAGGAGGGGAGATGGGGTAGGAGTCGCTTCGCGTGGAAGTCGTGCGCCCCTAAGCAGGGGGAAAGGTGGGGTGGGAGTCGTTTCGTATAGATGCATGATGTGTTATTGTTGGCGATCACAACACTACTGAATATCAGTGAAAATTTGAGTGCCAGTAGAGATAGAAGTACATACTGTCAACAATTCAAAGATAACACAATCGGAGTTTATTCTCTAACGAAAAGATGTATCACATAAATTAGACTTTTAAGTCTAAATATCTCAGAAACTATAAGAGACCGCCATTTAGTTGTTAAGGCAAAGTTACTCAGAATTATGATCTTTACAACATATGTCAAGGTCAAGGTCATTGGCGCGGTGTCCGTTAATATGCATAATTACCCGTTGATCTTCAAGATAAGCTCAGAAAAAATCGCTATATTAATTGTTGTGGAAGATATATATATTTTATCCCATTTTATGAGTATTTGACGAGATGTATAGATTAAATGATGAAACTTACAAGAACATTGATTTTTTGTAAAGAATCTTATCCTTCATCTTTAAAATGAGCCTAAAAAGTAGTTGCTATCTTTATTTTTGTGGAAAATATGAATTTTTAAAGGACCGGGATACGTATATCCCACCTACAGGCACAAAAGATTAATTGGCAATTGAAAAAGAGAAAGTAAATTTTCTTTTAAACGCGTAGCAGTAAAAATACGTTATCCATAGTTGATATATCGTAATTATTTTAGTATGTTAAATGTCGGACGATCGTTGTCGAGCGGACGAATAAAGTGAGCAGTCAGAGAAAACAGTTTGCGAGTATGCCATGATAACAGTATAATAAAATTCTTTATTTGTCTTAAGAAATAGTAAAAGAAAAGATTGAAGTTTTAGGAGAGCAACGTTCTAAAAGAATTAAGCATTCCATTCCTGCGTTTGTTAAACACCATTATTCATCGCTAAATTTTATAATTACTCGCGCCGATATTTTCGAGCTCCAGATTCCTATAAGAACCCAGAAAAAGATAGCAACGTATTTGTCTTGTTACTGGCATGTTGCTTGCTAAATATATGCATTGCTAAGTATGTGTTGCTACCAGAATAGCAACAACTGAGTCCTCATTTGTTGACAACTTGATGTCTTCACGATACGACAACTTTGAGTAGCAACTTGCCAGCAATTTGCCGATAACTTTAAAATCGTCATCAAAATTCGTACTATTGTCGTCATGTTGTCATAATAATATGCAGTCATATTACCGACAACTCAAGGTAACTTTGAGGCAGCTATCTTGCTGTTAAATGTTGCCTGCATGTTGCTACAATGTCGGTATATTCGAAATCGTTGAAGACAAATAATTAATCTAAAGGAAGGTACCAGCATCATAAGCAATCACAGATTTGTGCGATTTTGCTGAGACATGTTTTGCTATCTGGGTTAATTTCTATTAAATATAGTCGCGAAATTCTTCGTCGTTTTCATTCGCGTATCGACATATCTACAATATAAATTTATTGCAGTGACAAATTTTTTCCTCAAAAAATCCTAACTGCTCTTTGTTTCTCCTATTTCAATGTTTCCAGAGTGTCAGTTTCTCGCAGAACTCGTACCCTTGTTCTTGCTCTTCTTGAAGTATCGCACAAATTCCACGATCAGTGTTCTCGATGTCTAGTGTCTAAATATACTCGGCAAACATTATCCAATAGGTGACGTTCAGCACGGCAAATAGGAAAGGGAAGAAAACTCGTGAGAAGCGGTCAATGTTCAATGCCCGTATTCGCGCCTTTTGTGCTGGGGTAGGTCCGAGTGGCGGTACAATCGGCGATTTCTGCGATCGGCAGGATAACAACATTGCGTTTTCCTGCGTGACAACGATCACAACTTGAACCGTCATCATGCAGACTGTCTCCCGTGCCTCGAAGAGAGTGGGATATAATTTAGAGTGGACGAACAATGCTCTTGCAAAATGCAGCTACCGGTATACACAATTAAAACAATCATGATCGACACAAGATTTTTTATAATATATAAACATCTTTAGACGTATTAACAATTTATCCGTTACTAATATTTTTTGAAGCTGCAAATCGCTTTAAGTAGATTTTCTTCCCTTATTCGAGGCACGGAAGTGGTCCGAGACAAAAGAGCCTAGAATCAATTTTAACGATGGTAAAACTCTATTTATCATGAAATTACAAGATAAAAGTATTTGGGCATTTTAGGGAGAATTTAACACTATAGTAGTACGTACTTCTGCCAATTTTCATTGACTATTTCCATCTCAACTAATTAATTCATACCGACAATATAATAAAAAATACACTTTTAGATATCTCTCAAAGGAACTGGTAACTCAATCCCTTGAGTTAAATAATATTTTATTATTTTTAATTTCCATGAATGTCAAGATATAAATCAATTCTTTTCTGTGATTAATTTCAAAGTAAACAATGTTCATATTAACGTCTATATACTTGATAAATAATAAACCAAATATGAGTCAAATTTACTACATTTGCCTGAATTAAATTATTTAACTTTATCATTTTAGTTAAATTAATGGTATATTGGGTAGAAACAGTGGTGACTTATAGAAATTATTAAAAATAACTTAAATTGGGTATAATTTGATATTACAAACTTAACGTAGATAATGAATTATTGCAAGTATCTATATTTAAGTCTTGTTAAAATCGATTCATGAGGCTCCCTGGTCATTCAATTGTCATGTATGCATTACCTTGGCAGCGATATCGAAGATCTTATCAAGTTTGGCTGAATCCGAGGTGCTCGAGCACGGCGGCGGTGGCGGAGGTGCAGGTTTCGCTGTGGGCGTATCCGAATCACCAAGAACGATGTTTACCAGACAATATTCCATCAGCGCCATGAACACGAATATTGTGCAGACCGACATGAAGGCGTCGACGGCCTTCAGGTACGAAACGGGCGGTAAAGAGGCCTGACTCTTGGCGTGTTGCGTGGAAAGCGTGAGCAACGAGGTGACTCCCAGGGTGACTCGGGCGGGTGCGGCCTCAGGTTTTATCCAGAATGATACCCACTGCGATATTTTTGATAAAAAATACAGTTGCAAAGAAGATCGTGAGAGTATCTTTCTACTATTATGTTACCTTACCGACATGATGACTATCAAGCATGTCGGCACGTAGGTGTGAAACAAGTAATAGCCGAGACGTCGCTTCAGCACAAACACGACTTCAAGACAAGTAAAGTTACCTGGAGATTGTAACGTAATCTTCCATAAGGTGTTCATGCTTGGCATTTAGCTTACAATCAGATTAAACTCAAGTGATATGAACGCATGGGCGGTCCGCTAAAGAATTACCTTCATTCCTTAGAATAATGCTGCGCGAGATACGCGTGCAGTTTCGAAACGGAAGATTAAATTGATTTAAAAAAATTGACACAAATATTGTCTATATTACGTGCTTTAATATGCGAAGAATCCGACTGCATTTATACGAAAATATATCAAACGCGATGCGCAGCGTTATTCTTTGAGATAGAGACATTTACACAATTCTCTTACCAGTGGAATAAACCTGCGTGCAGTCAGCCGTATAATTTTTAACGAGTTGTAATTGGGGTAACTCGATATTCTCGTCTACAACGAGAGGAACATCGGGATCCCACTGGAAGATCATTTCGTCTGTCGTATGCGACACTGCCGATCAAGTTATTTTGTTTTAAAACATGAAATCGCGTGGTGTTTGACGCCACATATAATTTATTAATTACTTATCTAGCATAGTTTACTTACTCTTTAAATTTCTTGGAGTGAAATGAAAAAAGATAATTTTCACTCTTTTTGAGTGAAGTTTCTCTCTAAAGGAGTGAAATCTTATTTCTTTTTAAATTTTTCTTCTCTAACAATGGTCATTTTCACTCTCTTAGAGTGAGATTTCACTCCAAGAAATTTAGAGGATGCGCTAATTGTTGGAAATGTAGCTAAGAACACATTTTTTACTTCTATTGAAAATCAATTATTAGATATAATTGAGAGATAGGTAAAAATGACATAATTGTATGATAAAACATAACTTTATACTTGCACATAACTCTGAGATAAATTCTTTTATAGATAATGATGACTTACGACTTTCCATTTGCAGTTTACATTCTTGCGTATCGTGAGGATAGATCAAAAAATTCATGGCGCAAGAGAGTTTTAGAGTCAGCCTGAAATTCGTATATTTCAAGTTTTATGTTTAGGAAATGCACTGAAGATATAATTTAAACTCACTTCACCATATACAGAATGGTTTTGTCCTTATATAACCATAGGTAGTGATTTGGTATCGTCATTGTTTGAAATGTCACCGACTTTGCGTTCTTAAAAAAGGAATCTGGCCGCCACATATTTTTCAGCCAATCAACTTCTAATAATCTTAAATTTCGTTACATATATGAAAGATAATAATTAATTAGGAACTTTTTAAAGAAGTACTAAAGGAAAATATACAGATGAATGCAACAGAAATATACTAAATAAAAATACATAAGTGTCAAAATCGTTAAGAAGCAACAAATTTATGTACCTATACTCAGATGTCATATTTTCTGGCAATCGGAGTCTATTATCTTTCCACGTTTGGGCAAAGAAAATATCAGCGGCATATGTCTATAAAAGTAATTAACTATGGAAATAATTATATATTTCATAAATGATTAATTAATAATTAGGACAGTATTGAACTACGAAATTTTTGTCAATACGCAGTTTACAACATAAAAATAGTTAAAATTATGTTACCATTGAATTTTCATCGATAGAATCAAGTCCCATCACAGTAACGTGAAAATATACAACGGTTGCATGGCCATCTTTCTTGGGAGGACGCATTTTGTCGTATAATTTAGGATCTTCGGGTAAAAGATCAAAAAATTCTAAACTTTTCCTGAAAAGCGAATATTAAAACGACAGTTTTTTTAAACATACATTGAATGACATTTTTTATTATATGCTATATGCGAATTAACTAGTTAACTATTTAAATAAGATAAATGTATGGCATTCGTATTTAATATATTAATGTAAAATAAAATTTTATCGATCAATATATTAATAAGATTTTTTAATTTTATTATAGGGGAAAATGGTCTAAATCGGACCGTGTTCTAAATAGGACTTTTTTAATTTAAATGAATACGGTTAAGCAGATTTGCGTACTATTTATAACGTAAAGTCTTTATAAGACACCGAATATGTGATAGCAGTTTGACAGTTCTCTGTCATAACATTCATAAAATAAAGGCAAATATATATTTTCAGCCATTGTGCGAAAATTTTTTTAAAAAAGAAAATCCTTGTAAATCATTATTTAAAAGGTGTTAAAAATTTGAAAAGTAATTGATTTAAGATAATTAAAGAGTGTAGAATTAAAAAATATCAAGCATTTCGTGATCACTTTTGCGGTTTATTGTAAAATTTGTTCCAAAGTTCGAAAGGACCCGTGTCCAAATCGGACAGTACAGTGAATAACTTATAGGCCTGGTTGTAGTACTGGTGATCGGCTGACTAGATCTGATCCAAGCAATTAAATCAGTAAAATATCATGAATCATCAGACTCAGATTAGTTGAGTTTTATTGATTTCAATTCTAATAATATAAACAGTCAGTATTTTCTTTTTCCGAAAAAAATGTTTATCTTTGACTGTCAAATTACTCGTTTTTACTCAATACTAAGAAAAATACATTAAAATATTTTAAAATTCTATCTAAAAATCCATAAAAATAGAAGTTTTCGATTT